CACCATGGTCTTGTAACGGATGCGAGCTTCAACTGGAAGCCAGTGGAGTGTGCGGAGGAGGGGGGTGACGTGAGAGAACTTGGGAAGGTTGAACACCAGACGGGCTGCGGCATTCTGGATGAGTTGTAGGGGTTTAATGGCACAGGCAGGGAGGCCAGCCAACAGCGAGTTGCAGTAATCCAGACGGGAGATGACAAGTGCCTGGATTAGGACCTGTGCCGCTTCCTGTGTAAGGCAGGGTCGTACTCTCCGAATGTTGTAGAGCATGAACCTGCAGGATCGGGTCACCGCCTTGATGTTAGCGGAGAACGACAGGGTGTTGTCCAGGGTCACGCCAAGGCTCTTCGCACTCTGGGAGGAGGACACAACGGAGTTGTCAACCGTGATGGCGAGATCATGGAACGGGCAGTCCTTCCCCGGGAGGAAGAGCAGCTCCGTCTTGCCAGGGTTCAGCTTGAGGTGGTGATCCGTCATCCATACTGATATGTCTGCCAGACATGCAGAGATGCGATTCGCCACCTGGTTATCAGAAGGGGGAAAGGAGAAGATTAGTTGTGTATCGTCAGCGTAGCAATGATAGGAGAGGCCATGTGAGGATATGACAGAGCCAAGTGACTTGGTGTATAGGGAGAATAGGAGAGGGCCTAGAACTGAGCCCTGGGGGACACCAGTGGTGAGAGCACGTGGTGCGGAGACAGCTTCTCGCCACGCCACTTGGTAGGAGCGACCGGTCAGGTAGGACGCAATCCAGGAGTGAGCCGCGCCGGAGATGCCCAGCTCGGAGAGGGTGGAGAGGAGGATCTGATGGTTCACAGTATCAAAGGCAGCAGACAGGTCTAGAAGGACAAGAGCAGAAGAGAGAGAGTTAGCTTTAGCAGTGCGGAGAGCCTCCGTGACACAGAGAAGAGCAGTCTCAGTTGAATGACCAGTCCTGAAACCTGACTGGTTTGGATCAAGAAGGTCATTCTGAGAGAGATAGCAAGAGATAGCAAGAGAGTTGGCTAAAGACGGCACGCTCAATAGTTAAATCCACTTCAATCCACCCCCCCCCCCCCCCCCCCCCCCCCCCCCCCCCCCCGGGTGCACGTTTTTTGATTTTGTCCTAGCACTACACAGCTGATTCAAATAACCAACTCATCATCAAGCTTTGATTATTTGAATCAGCTGTGTAGTGCTAGGGCAAAAACAAAAAATGTGCACCCGGGGGGGGGGGGGGGGGGTGTACAAGCTGGTGTACAAAACTGAAAGTAAAAGATGCAAAAACGAATCTTAAGAATGAGAAACATAGAAATAGCGCACATAGAACAGATCTACTGCTTCTTAGACTTGCTTTTAATGAGAATGACAGGGGGGTCACTCAATAGGTGTTCCTAATGTTTGGTATACTCAGTGTAGATCACTGGAGTATGGTGACCTTTTCATAGCTGTAGAATGCAGAGATGTTTCCAGCATTGACTGTGTTAACAGTCTCCTAACCCGCTCTGTCTCCTCTCCTCTCCCTAGGTGTGCTCGTTTGGAAGTCATGAGATGAGTCATGGTGTATACACCTTTGACCGAAGGCTCCACCACCTGCGGTCGGCACTCAATGCCATGGTGGAGCAGCACATCAACGCCCACCTCTGGAAGTAAGATTATTTTTGATGTGTGCCCTGTGGTAACTTCCTACGACAGGGTTCCCCAACTGGCGGCTCGCATCCCGAATTTGGCACGCAGGTATTTTTATTTGGCCCCCCAAGTAAAAATCCATAAAAATAATAATAATAATCCTCATTTTGGGGGGGGCTTGAATTTTTGTTGTTGAAAATAAACAGTAAAAACACCAGGAAATCAGCTCCAAGTGATTTTAATTTGGGAAATCTGTTCCCAAGTATTTCCATGCATAATAGAGAGACGTGATCATATACAAATGTTAGCAAGGTTTGAAATTATGTTTTAGTCAAATATTATATCTGTTTGGGATTATTGTGGTCAATTTGCAGTCTACAAATGATTTGTAATTATGTTCCGGCCCCCCGACCATCCGCGCACGGCTGAATCTACAATGAATTCGGAAAGTATTCAGACCCCTTGACTTTTTCCAGATTTTGTTAAATAAAATAAAAAACAGAAATACCTTATTTACATAAGTATTGAGACCCTTTGCTATGAGACTCGAAATTGAGCTCAGGTGCATCCTGTTTCCATTGATCATCCTTGATGTTTCTACAACTTGATTGGACATGATTTGGAAACGCACATATCTGTCTATATAAGGTCCCACAGTTGACAGTGCATGTCAGAGCAAAAACCAAGCCATGAGGTCGAAGGAATTGTCCGTAGAGCTCCGAGACAGGATTGTGTCGAGGCACAGATCTGGGGAAGGGTATCAAAAATGTTCTGCTGCATTGAAGGTCCCCAAGAACACAGTGGCCTCCATCATTCTTAAATGGAAGAAGTTTGGAACCACCAAGACTCTTCCTTGAGCTGGCCGCCCCGGCCAAACTGAGCAATCAGGGGAGAAGGGCCTTGGTGAGGGAGGTGACCAAGAACCCGATGGTCACTCTGACAGAGCTCCAGTGTTCCTCTGTGGAGATGGGAGAACCTTCCAGAAGGACAACCATCTCTGCAGCACTCCACCAATCAGGCCTTTATGGTAGAGTGGCCAGACGGAAGCCACTCCTCAGTAAAAGGCACAAAAGAGTTTGCCAAAAGGCACCTACAGAAACAAGATTCTCTGGTCTGATGAAACCAAGACTGAACTTTTTGGCCTGAATGCCAAGCGTTACGTCTGGAGGAAACCTGGCACCATCCCTACGGTGAAGCGTGGTGGAAGCATCATGCTGTGGGGATGTTTTTCAGCGGAAGGGACTGGGAGACTAGTCAGGATCGAGGCAAAGATTAACTGAGCAAAGTACAGAGAGATCCTTGATGAAAACCTGCTTTAGAGCGCTCAGGACCTCAGGCTGGGGCGAAGGTTCACCTTCCAACAGGACAGCGACCCTAAGCACACAGCCAAGACAACGCAGGAGTGGCTTCGGGACAAGTCTCTGAATGTCCTTGAGTGGCCCAGTCAGAGCCCGGACTTGAACCCAATCGAACATCTCTGGAGAGACCTGAATATAGCTGTGCATCGACGCTCCCCATCCAACCTGATAGAGCTTGAGAGGATCTGCAGAGAAGAATGGGAGAAACTGCCCAAATACAGGTGTGCCAAGCTTGCAGCGTCATACCCAAGCAGCTGTTATCGCTGCTAAAGGTGCTTCAACAAACTACTGAGTAGAGGGTCTGAATACTTATGTAAATGTGATATTTCCGTTTTTTATTGTAAATACATTTGCAAACATTTCTACAAACCTGTTTTTGCTTTGTCATTATGGGGTATTGTGTGTAGATTGATGAGGAAAAATAACAATTTCATCCATTTTAGAATAAGGCTGTAATGTAACAATGTGGAAAAAGTCAAGGGGTCTGAATACTTTCCGAATGCACTGTAGTTGATGATCCCTGGTCTGCTGGTACAGCAGTTTGTTATAAGAGCGACGTAGTGCTGTTCGAGCACCATCTTCCTTATTGTTTCCTCTCTGGACAAAGTATTACATTGTAGTTTTCTGTCTATGTAATACAAGTATATTATCTCTGCAGGAAAATACCTCAAGTGTCAGACCTCCAGTCCCAGAGTCCCTCTGCGAAGAATATCCCCTTTTCCTCCTCCTCTTCCTCCCTGCATTCTAAAGTCAGGACAGGAAGCCACAGCACCCCCTCCCTCAGGCCTTCCTCCTCCTCTTCTTCCTCCCACGGACCAAGGAGGGAGACACGCCTACAAATCTCCTCCCACTCCACAGCCATTAACCAATCAGAGGACTCCAGTGGTAGTGGCAGCCAAATTGTAGCCCCAGTGCCCCCTCCTGTCCGTCAGGCAGGCCCAGGGCGGCCACCAGGGCCCGGGAGGTCCAAGAACCCAGTGGGGCGACCCAGCAAGCAGCAGCTGAGACTCAGAGAGGAGGCTGCTGCCACCGCTGCTGCAGCCCTCCGTAAACGCAAAGCCCCGTCACAGGAGGGTGAGCACTCCGGCCCAGACAGGAACTCTATCATCCTCCAGGACCGGGGACGGCCCCCCTCCACTTCCTCTAAGACTGCCCCGCCCACCCCTCACAGCCAGACCAATGGCACTCTCTCCCCCAGCGGCAAACCCCGCCCCCCGCCATCCCCCTCGGAGCCCCATTCGCCAGCGGCGGCCTGGGCGTTTAAACGGACACATCCAACCTCTGGACACTCTTCCTCCCCACCTGACCCTCACAGCCGAGGGGTGGACTCAGGACTGCACGGGAGGGGGGCGGCGGGGTACGAGCACAGGGGGCTGGGCAAGAAACGCAAGGGGGGCAGCAGTGAACCCTCGCCCCCCTCTAAATTGCACCGCCTTCCCTCCTCCCCTCGCTCCAATTTCTACCCCTGGAAGGACAGTAAGGGGGGAGCGCTGCCTGATGGGTTGAAGAAGAAAATGGGCACACAGAAGGTGGGTTCGAGAGCAGTTGTTATTCCTCATTCATCTTACTACGTATGATTATTTTAGGAGTACGTTATATACATATGGTACAAATGATATTGTATGTAATGTTGTCCTAGTTTTTGTGACTATAAAGCAGCCATTTGACTGTAGTCTTCCTTCTTTATCCACAGCCAAAACTGCACCATTAAGAGTGCCTGCCTTACAAGCCACTATGAGGGAGACAGCCCTGCCTGCGTAGTCAGACATCACAGGACTCAAGAGATGTGTGTGTGTGTGTGACTGGATATTCAAGCCAATGTCGATGTGTGTGTGCAGGTGCGTATGTCTATTGAAGCCTATATGGGAATGAGTGTACAGGTGTGTGTATGTGAGAGAGGGTGCTTAAGACCAATACAGTATGAGCTATGTGTTGTTCAGTTCCTGAGTTGGGTGTGTGTATGTATGCGAGTTTGCAGTTGTTGGTGAGTGTGTGCAGGACAAAGGTGAAGTGAATTTCTATGTATGAATTTATAAATACCTCAAGACCTTCTGGTTATGCTGCTAAATGAATATGTTGGTTTATAAAAATTGTTTAAAAATATCCTTTACACTTGAAGTTGTGGCTTTTCTTTTATGAGGCTGGTATAGGAAGAAGGAGGGGGTCACCAGATATTATTTTTTGCAGCCTTGATATACCAGATCATATACAACCATGTCAGTCTGAGAAATGATCTCACTGTATTGTCTAATTACTGTTGTATGAAGACAGTATAGAAGTGACAGACCAGTAGCTTTGCATCAAGGGTTGGACAGGGAGAGCTGAGGTAGCCTATTATGCTCAATGGACTGCATTCCTTCACGCCATGTTAATGAAATTGGGGCCACTCCTTAAAAAAAAAAACTGTAAGAGGTGTTTTTTTTACATGGGGTGGATAGACAAAGGTACTGTATTATAAAGGCTATTCACGTGTGTGTGAAATTAGTGCAATGCGCGCTCTTGATTCCCTATCGCCCGTTCCTGGTTGGATAGCGGAACTCGTGCTGCTGGGGATAGCGCCATTAGATGACTCCCTGATTTGACAGCGGACTGGCTCCTCTGGCAGTGACGTCGCTGTACCCCCCCCCCCCCCCCCCCCCAAACCTCTATAAAATGAGGGTGTTCGATTAATCGTGCAGGTGTAGGCGTGTCTTGCGCAGGCTGAAAGTTGATTGCATTCCATTTGGAACCGGTGCCCCGCTCTGTCAGACCGCTCAAAACAAAAGTGACATAATTAAGCACGTGTATTAATTATTAGGATTATATGTTTCCCCATGCTAAAGTCATTGTATATGTCTTCCCAATGAAAACTATTTTGAAAATTCTGGACGATGCCTTGTTGACAACATGACCAAGCGGCGGAAATTACTGTTCGTTTTGAGAGGTCGCTCCTCCCTCCCCGCTTTCACAGGATTCAACCCGGGCCAGTGTAAAATAACTCCCTCATGTCTCATCCACCAAGAGGTCCTATCCAGGAAGTGGATTCAAGAACCCACCTGATCAATTTGAACCAGTAGTAGTAGGCCTACAGTATATGTTCCAGGTGCGCTGGACGAAAAGTATCAACTGGTCATTATATGCGGGATGTTTTGGAATGAAACCGGCCGGTTTGGAATTTGATTTAGTCTACGGAGGTGCGGAACAGTAACATGCTGCCGTTTTATAATCTCTGTAACAGGAGGGGATTTACTAGCTGCAGACTAATCCGTTGAAGAGACCGCATATCCATCGTTAGGACAATTCGTTTTGCTGTGTTGTGTTGTTCAACATAGTTTGTGATACATTTATGAATGTGATACAATTTGATACATTGTTACGGCGCAAGAGTCCCGTCGCGGTCACAGATAGACTGGCGCTAACGGTTCAAGACCAATAACTGACCAGATTAATCTCCAACTAATCTCCATGTATCTGCAACGGTGCTTAGTGAACACAGGCCATCGGGTTGTCATTGTACAGTCAGCCTGCATGCTCTCCATGTAGCCGGTCGTCGAGAAGTGCGGGGAGATGCGCGCAGATGTGGAGTACAGCCCGGTCGGCGAGGGACTGGGGATGAGCGAGTTCTGGCTCTATGTGTGGATGCGAAGGGTCGCAGTGATCGCTGCCCATGTCATAGCGGTGGGTCTCACTGTACTGATTTCACTACTATCCCGCCCTGGAACAAGTGAGTTGTCTTCTTGTTGACCTATAAGCAATTGACAATGATTTTGGCAATGAGGCCCTTTATCTACTTCCCCAGAGTCAGATGAACTCGTGATACTACTTTTATGTCTCTGTAACCAGGTTTCCAGCCAACCTTTTTATGCGAGTACAGTAGCCTACGTGTCGGATAAAAAAAAAAATTAACGACAGGCCTCATAGAAACAGCAAATTGTAAGTAAACTTTCAAAATGTCGACAAAACAAAATACCCTAGACAAGGTGGGATCTTTTTGTGTCTGTAAAATGATTTATGCGAGAGAGAGCGGTGGAACCGCTTTTATGCACAAATATTGCTATAATAACCATCATATTGAAGTAAACTTGGAGTCACGCGATGACGTGTGGTCCTCCCACTAAGACTTGGAAAACATCAGTGGCGTATAAATGTTGGTGGGGCAAATTTTATATTTTATTTTTATGCATGCAGGCAAAGCCACAACAAAACACTAAACAATACAGTAATTGCACTATAGCGGTGACAAATTGTGCCCACAAATTGTTAGGGCCTACATAAAGCTGTCCCAAAAGCAGGTTCTACACCTGGCTATCAGCTGAGCCTTTTCTGGCAGCGAAACAGTTCATTCAGCCTCATTTACTGCCTTTAAAAAATATAGCTGATATGGCTGACTTGCTTAAACAAATGTGGTTTCTTCTGACAATTGAGATGTACAAACTATGGCATAAGGGAACCACGAGCGGATAAGAGGCAAACCGTAATTTCGATTAAGACATTAATGAGCGAGCTAGGACAGACGTAGTCAATATAACTATTTGTTCAGCACTTTTGAAATGTACAGTGACAGAATTCAGAACATGGGCCATTCTTATAGTGTTCTCCCTGTACACCAAGTCAAAACCGTAGGATAAATAAAGGGGGTATATAAGCAGACAATGAAAGCTCTTACAATATCCAATGATCATATTTCTCTAAAACAGGCTATAGGCTACATGTGCACCACCAAGTCAGAACAGTAGGCTAAGTAATGAGGGGAAAAGGGACCAAATTATTAGGGTGAGGCACATGGGCTACTAACAGCTTACTACACAACATACACTTAGTATTACTTTCTTAACTACAGTATACATATATCCCTGGCATATTACATAATTTATCCAACAGCATACAATAAATTTTTTGACTCCCCTTGTGCTATGCTCACTTGAACAGGAAGGTGGCATGGTGGTCCTTCGTGGGCAAATTTTGTAATTAAACTTTGTCATCAAAGTCTGGCATTCTCTGGATTTATGGTGCTTTCAAGACAACGAGGTCGAATCATGATGAGGTCATTGATCTTCAGGTCGGAGCTCGAGAAAGAGGCCCGAGTTCCCAACTTGCAATTCCGAGTTGGATGACCTTTCAAAACATATTTTCCCAGTCTGAGATTTTTTCAGAGTTCCCAGTTGTCATGAACTCACTGAAGTCAGATTTCCCAGTTCTGAGTTTCCAGTTGTTTTGAGCACAGCAGAAGTCATGCTGGATTGACAGCATGGCCAATGTTAAATGTTTATCCCTTTAAGCTTGGAAAATAGACCCTTAAACCCAGACCTGGGACCACACATCCACTCCAGTGAATAGCAGACTAGTGATTGCTTTGCAATGCTTGCAGTTAGCCACTGATTCACTCATTGTTGAATTTGCGATTTCCAACTTGTTGTGTAATGTTTATGTCCAATGACCGATGAGCACCGATACGTTTGATCTATAATTTCTCTTCATTATTTATCGTCATATGACAATTATTGAAAAGGATTTGCCAGTAGATTGTCGACTTGATTCATTATGATGACTGCTAGCTTGCAAGCTAAGATTTTGAAAGTATGATGTTGACATGATCAGTCCAATCAAAGCTACTGTAGATATAACGTGATTTGACGTCACTTTTTTTCTTCTTCTTTTTTTTATTTTTACATTGTTTGCAAACTGATATGTGACACGTATTAATGCCAAAATAACATGCGAACAGGTGGGGCTCTGAATGACGGGTCGCCACTGGAAAACATGCAGTTTATTAGGCCAGGGGTTCCCAAACTGTATTAGGCTACAGATGAAATAAGTTATGATGAACTTCACAGGGTGGTGAAAGTGCAATGTGATGAGCTTGATCGATGCTTGGTTTGCCTGCCGTTTGACAAAAACAAATAATCTAGCTCTATTGTTAATAATAATCTAATCATGTAGGCCAGTGGTTTTGTTGCCAAAATACAATCTGGATTTAAAAAAAAATCTATATTTGGTAGTAAATGTACCAATTCTATGACAAGGGAACGACAGTCCCACCTTTTCCATTGTCAGTAATTCCATTTTGCCCATGTTCTTGATGAAGAATGTTAAACACTGGTTTGAGACCACAAAATCAACCAAATCCACTAAAAAGCGCTTCTAATTACAATATATTGAAAATACTGTGATTGAACTATTTTTCTTCAGAGGTTAAATAAAAAAATATGGGTTCATTATAGTTTCTAAACACGTTCTACCTGGTTTTAGTAATTTAAGTTCAGACTAGAGTATTTTTCATAAAAATAAAAAATACAACTTTACTCAGACACTCGTGACCCATTCAAACCCACCAGTTGAGAATCGCTGATGTAGGCTATACCCTCACTGTATCTGCAAGCTGTTGGCTAGAGTGCACATGCCAGTACAAGAGTGGGCACATTCACTGTATAATGTAACCTTTTTTTGTGACAAAACCAGTAGAGTTGAAAATGCGATGGAAACCCATTTAACTTGTATTTTTTATTCGGTACATGGGAATTTAACTGCAAAAGTTATTATTATATGCACTACGTCATCACCCACAGCATTTCATCCGCAAGTACATTTGATGGAAACACATCTCTGGTGGGAAAATGCGCATATTGTTTATATGCAGATTTTTGAATATCGCATGAAAATCTGTCGTCAATTGGATGGAAACCTAGCTTCTGTCCAGTATGAAGGAAGTTGGAGGTAGTTTCGCAAGCCAATGCTAACTAGCGTTAGCGCAATGACTGGAAGCGATAACCATAGACTTCCAGTCATTGCGCTACCGCTAGTTAGCATTGGCTCGCTTCATACTGGACACAGAGACATAACATGGTATCTGACTGGGGAAGTAGATAAAGAGCCTCGTTGCCTAAATCCCGAAGTATCCCTTTAAGCAAAAAACCTACAGGCCTGGGGAACTAGTGGGTGCAAGGTTTTGTTCCAGACCAGCACCAAAGCACCTCAAGCATTGATCAAGTATCAGTTGATCAATTATCAGATGTCTAGTGCTGGGCTAGAGCAAAACACATCACTGATCCCAAGGACTTGATGACTGCAGTAGTAACCTTCATTTGGAATGTTTTGTAAGTGTGGACAATCTCACAATGTGTCTGTGTTCCAGGTCTATTTTCCTGGCATCCTGTGTGTATGTCTATCGCAGTAAGTGATCCTGATGACATGAACATGACACACACACCGACAGTAGTACCACTATACCACAAAATACCATAATATACACTGAACAAAAATATAAATGCAACATGTAAAGTGTTGGTCCCAGAAATGTTCCATACGCACAAAAAGCTTATTTCTCTTAAATTTTGTGTACAAATGTGTTTAAATCCCTGTTAGTGAGCATTTCTCCTTTGTCAAGATAATCCATCCACCTGACAGGTGTGGCATATCAATAATCTGATTAAACAGCATGATCATTACACATGTGCACCTTGTGCTGGGGACAATAAAATGCCACTCTAAAATGTGCAGTTTTGTCACACAACACAATGCTACAGATGTCTCAAGTTGAGGGAGCGTGCAATTGGCATGCTGATTGCAGGAATGTCCACCAGAGCTGTTGCCAGAGAATTGAATGTTCATTTCTCTACCATGAGCCACCTCCAATGTTGTTTTAGAGAATTTGGCAGTACATCCAACCGGCCTCACAACCAAAGACCACGTGTATGGCGTTGTGTGTGCAAGCAGTTTGCAGATGTCAACGTTGTGAACACAGTGCCCCATGGTGGGGTTATGGTATGGGCAAGCATAAACTACAGACAACGAGAACAGTTGCATTTTATTTATGGCAATTTGAATGCACAAAAATACCGTGACGAGGTCCTGAGGCCCATTGTGAGGCCCATTTCTTATAAGGTATCTGTGACCAACAGATGCATATCTGTATTCCCAGTCATGTGAAATCCATAGATTAGGGCCTAATGCATTTATTTCAATTGACTGATTTCCTCATATGAACTGTAACTCAGTAAAATCAATGAAATTGTTGGATGTTGCGTTTATATTTTTGTTCAGTATACTTCTAGTCTTAGGTAAGGTACTGTCACTGTGAGAGATTAAGCTCTAGGACCATCTTACCTCCGCTGCGACATGTGGGCCCTGTCATGCCCGCGGCACGCTGACAGACGAGGAGAAGCTGCAAATAAATTATACATCCACCCCTCTCTCGCTCTATCTATTTCCACTCGTCTTGTCTCTCTCCTCTCCCCCTGTCTCTTTAATAATGGATAGAACGGTGTGGAACAGAGATGTGACAGGCAGGTTCACCCTTAGCCCTGGGCTGATGATGTAACCAGGTAACTTGACCCAGAGGACTGACTGACTGGAGGAACGTTATAGAGCCGTCTCCAAAAACAGAGCTCCGAGGTCCTTTGTTGTTGTTTAGTGGGACAATGTTGAATATAGGTTGCAGATGAGATGCACTGTGTACTGGGCAGAACTGACCCAGCTTTCTAAGACCGCTCAGAAACATTATTTCCCCACCACAAGAGATTCCTTCCTACACACCATCTCTCTCCCCCTCTCACACTGACAACACACACACACAGATAACAACACTGCCCATTGTCTCTCGGTGTTAAAGCCTCTGTCTGTGGATTATCCTCAGACAGTGTTAACCCTCTGATTGTCCTCTGATGGTCTTCCACCTCTCCTCTTTCGTCTATCAGTACCTCCTGTGCCTGACCGAGGGGATCCTCCTCTTCTCTCCCGAGGGGACTCCGTTCTGCTTCAAGGCACGGAAGGGTAAAGTCCGTCTGCACTGGTTCATCCAGGCCCTGGTCATATTGGCTGCAGCCACCGGAGTTGGCTTCATGGTTGCCAGCAAGAATGTGTCAGAGCGCCCCCACCTGGCCACCTGGCACAGCCTGCTGGGGGTGGGCACCCTGGCTGCCACTGTCCTCCAGGCCGCATGCGGCATCTGCCTCCTCTTCCCTAAGCTGCTCAAGCTGTCCCCGCCGCGGCTCAAGCTCTACCACGCCACCTGTGGCCTGGTGGTATACCTGCTGGCGACTGTGACCGTGGTGTCGGCCATGTTTTCTGACTGGTTCCAAGCCACGGTGAAGGGGGTGGTGTGGTATGCTTTCCTGCTGCTGCCACTGTTCCCAGCCCTGGTGATCATGAACCAAATCACTAACGCCTACCTGCCACGCAAGAAGATCACCACCTGAGACTAAGATGTAGACCAGGGTTGCCCAACCCTGTTCCTGGAGAGCTACCCTCCTGTAGGTTTTCACTCCAACCCCAGGTGTTACTAACCTGATTCATCTTATCAACCTTCTAATTATTAGAATCAGGTGTGCTAGATTAGGGTTGGAGCAAAAACCTACAGGACGGTAGCTCTCCAGGAACAGGGTCGGGCAGTCCTGATGTAGACTTTCACGTACAGTAGCCTATAGATCAGTGTCTCCCAAACCTCCCAAGAGTACCCCCAGCCAGTCCACGTATTTGATGTAGTCGAGAACTAGCACAGCTGATTTAACTAAGAGGAGCTTGATTATTAGGTGATCATTTAAATCAGCTGTGTTAGTTATGGAAAACATCAAATTAGTGGACTGTCTGTGGGTACTCCATGAGAGGCTGGGGAAACTGCTATAGATACAGACATACGTTCTACGAATCTTGAAAGATTACCACCAGGAACTCCGTTTTACACACACAAGTACAAACATATACAAAGTACTAGTGACGGGAGTTAGTTGCATACCCACACACATCTATAAGAATACCTGGGTGTGACTGTTGTATCCTGATAAACTTGTATGGGACCTGCCCTGAAAGGCTACTGAAAGCTGACCTCTACTGGGACAGAGTTGATGTAAATGAAGTCGTCTCCTTTGCGTCGTCTGTTTCTCCAGAGGTTACTTTGCGAATTTTATCCAGCGAACAATAAGTCTATGAGACACTGTATATATACTGTATCTGGATGGTTTATGGGAATACAGTACCTACTGTACTATTGTGTATCAACCTGAATGTGTGGTTGTGAGCAGAGCAGCTATGTGGGTGTGTATTTTACCAACCCTTTATACGTTTGGTTTTATGATTCTTCTGTGTCGTCAGCCTATATGTTACTGAACATTAGCCACTATGACGCGTTTAAAAAAATGGCATGTTTTTTAAAACCTGTGTACTATGTCTTGTCCACCATCAACGGGAGAAGTGTGTGTGTGTGTGTGTCATCGGAAAGTATTAGCATTTTCTGAATGAAGGTATTAGCTAGAAACACCTGGCACACAAAGGCCTATTGGATGTACCAGCACGATGCTTAAACTTCTCCCAGTCTTATTCAGTAGGTCAAAACATTTTTAAAGGAATCGTGACCAAATACCAGCATGTTGTTGGTCCATTTTTATACTTTGATAAAGGGTAATTAAGTCAAACGTCACACAAAAATGGAATAACATAGTAAGAGACATAATCAAAAAATAATAATCTATATGCGCTAATAGTTATATGGTATGCGTCTGTGTCGTGTTTGAGTTCAGGGAATTGGGTGAATGGACTCACACTGTATACTTGCAGAATATATTTATTTTCCAACTGCAACAAGTACACAGTGTGAGTCCTTTCACCCAGTCTGCCTAATTTTCACTTCTGAGCACCTATGAACAAATGTGTCTTCAGGTGTTTAAAGGTTTATTTCTTCAATGTTTGGAACGAGCACCTCATGAATGTAGGCTATTCTACTCAGGGCTATGACCTTCAAACTCTGTGCTCATTGTAGTAGGAAGTGCGCAGTGGTCTAAGGCACTGCATCGCAGTGCAAAACTGTGCCACTAGATCCTGGTTCGAATCCAGGCTCTGTCGCAGCCGGCCGCGACCGGGAGACTCATGGGCGGCGCACAATTGGCCCAGCGTCGTCCAGGGTAGGGGAGGGAATGGCCGGCAGGGATGTAGCTCAGTTGATAGAGCATGGTGTTTGCAACGCCAGGGTTGTGGGTTCGATTCCCACAGGGGGCCAGTATAAAATAAATAAAAATATGTAAGTCGCTCTGGATAAGAGCGTCTGCTAAATGACTAAAATGTAAATGTAAATGTAAGTGGCCTCTAACCACTGATACAGGAGAAAATATTTTCTCATCCCCCTATTGGTTAGCATTGATATTTTGATATTGGGTGTAGGGAAATCTGATCCTAGATCTGAGTTTGAGGGTAACTTCTACCTTGTGTGTTCATTGGATGAGCTGAGTATTTATTCATGGTCCGTAATCGAGGGTTGTTTTAAAGAGGCACATGCAAGAGGTTGTACCTCCTGACAATGTTATCTCCCATGTTCTGCTTCCTGGACATGACCCAGAACTCTACGGTTGCTGTGAACCTGTTGATGTCTAAATAAAAACCTTGAATCACATGATCTGTTTGTGAGGAATCATTATACTGTAGGTAAATATTATTATGGATTCTAAAAAGACACCAATACTGAGGGTTCAGAGGTTACGCTTCGTTGCTTAGTGTATACACTTAAACACCTCAATATTTACAGATCAAACAGGATACAAAACCAGTCTCAGTGTCCCTTGGTGTAGCATAAGTTAGTTTTATTCATTCCAAGCTGCCCACTGTTGCTAGGACAGTTCATCCTTCACCAGGAAGTAGAGACCAGGGGTCAGAGGTTAGGGGTCACTGGCCCTCCCCACAGATGAAAGTGACGGTTCCGTTCAACAAATCCTCCATGGTGACTGCCATCACCTCCGTGCTGGAGTGACCGTCCTCCGTGTCTCCCAGGGCAACATACACCTGCTGGGATTGGTCCACAGAGATCACTTGTCCCGCCACGCCAGTGGGGTCCTCCTCTGTCTCAATCACCTGATGGGAGGAATGACAAGTTAGTGAAATGTCAATCACATTTCACTAACTTGCCATAGTTACTAACATAGATATACTGAGATAAGAGACAAAATACAGGAGAGCCTAGAGCCCAATCCCAAAACCACCCTGTCATCCCAACCCCTACTCACGTATGGAGATCTGAAGGGATTGAATAGGTGTAAGCAATATGGTAAAAATTACACTAAGGGCTCTATTCAATCTGTAAAGCTAAAGCGTTACAGATTCCGCAATAGAAATGTAAAGGTCATTTCCAATTGAGCCAACATATGCAGCATTTACCGTGAATGCAGTGTCTGCTAAAGCAGGAACATTGCCTTTGAATTTCAATCACGCTGTAAAGCTGAACTTCCGCGATGCGGATTGACTAGAGCCCTTGGTCTATCAGAGGGCAAGATGGAGCCATTACACATATCCAATCCCTTCAGATCTACACTCAGTGAATAGGGGGTAGGTTGTAGGGGTTGACTTAGGATGCAGCCTTACCGTCTGGGAGGTGGAGGCCTGCTCCTGCTCCTCTATCGTCCCTATGTGGCAGGAAAGGAAGTGGTCCTGGAGCTGCAGCTGGGAGGGGCAGACCAGCGGGCAGAGAGAGCAGCCGAACGCTGCCCCCTCCTGGCTGAAATGCTCGGCGCTGGCGTGCTCCTGCATCTCAGCCTCGCTGGGGAACAGGCTGGGACAGTACAGGCACTTCACCACTGACGAGTCTGGGTCTGGGAGGATACAGCAGGGGAGAGGAGATCAATACACATGTACGCAGAGCAGGCACAGACAGATAGAACGGGTTGATATGTATGTTATGAGTGCTATGGTATGTAGAAGTATGACATTATCGCAGCTCTTACCTGATTGCAGTTCCGGATTCCCCAACAGCAGCCCGTCAGAATCAAACATGCCTTTAGGAGATACAAAATAAAAAATATATTATTTGAGATAAAAACAAGAATAGTATATTCCTTACAACAGGGATGCACAACTTTAATCTGAGAATAACAAAGAAGAAGAGATTTAGCGATTACGGGGGGAGGACAGGCTTGGAAGCTTGGGCATTTTCTGGGTCTCTCCCTCACCTGTGTGCTCGGTCCTCTGGTGCTTCGCCAGGCTACTGGCACTGTGGAAGAACTTGCAGCACACGCTGCACTGCAGCAGAGACTTGAGCTGCCGGTGGGTCTGACCTGCAAACACCTCCGGGTGGTTGGTACGGTTATGATACCACAGCCCCGACATTTGCTGTGGATGGAGAGATATGATAAGTAATATACACTGAGTGTACAAAACATTAAGAACAACTTCCTAATATTGAGTTGCACACCCCCCCCCACCTCCTTTTGCCCTCAGAACAGTCTCAATTTGTCAGGGCATGGACTCTACAAGGTGTCCAAAGCGTTCCACAGGGATGCTGGCAATTTGACTTCAACGCTTCCCACAGTTGTGTCAAGTTCGCTGGATGTCCTTTAGGGTAGTGGACCATTCTTGATACAAACAGGAAACTGTTGAGCATGAAAAACCCAGTAGCGTTGCAGTTCTTGACACAAACCGGTGTGCCTGGCACCTACTACCATACCCGTTCAAAGTCACTTAAAACTTTTGTCTTGCCCATTCACCCTTTGAATGGCACACATACACAATCCACGTCTCAATTGTCTCAAGGATTAAAAATCCTTCTTTAACCTGTCTCCTCCCCTTCATTTTCACCGATTGAAGTGGATTTAGGTGACATCAATAAGGGATCATAGGTTTCACCTGGTCAGTCTATGTCATGGAAAGAGCAGGTGTTCCTAATGTTTTGTACACTCAGTGAATAATATAATATATGCCATTTAGCAGACGCTTTCATCCAAAGCGACTTACAGCGTGCATATCTTTTACGTATGGGTGGTCCTGGGAATCAAACCCACTATTCTGGCGTTGCAAGCACCATGCTCTACCAACTCATCCTTTAATAGTAAAGGAAGATAATAAAGGTATGCTATAGACCTATGAGTGTTTGAGAGCAATCAAGTTCAAATGCAAAGACATCTTAAATCATATTATCATAGACCAGAAACTCCCTTCAAGCCAAGGATAGCAGTTTTACAGGGATACTCTCTCTCTCACCTGGTAGGACTTCTGGCAGAGCTTGCAGCTGAATGGTTTTCCCCCAGCGTGGACGGCTATGTGTTTCTCCAGCAGGGTGTGGTTGGTGAACATCTTGTTGCATTCAGGACACTGGTGGAACTCCTTAGGGTGACACTCCTGGATGTGCTTCCTGTGGTCCTCCAACGAGGAGAAACTGAGACGACACTTCTGACAGTCGTGAGGCTCCGAGATGTCTGGAGAGGGGCGGAGGGGGAGAGGAAATGGAAAGAGAGAGAGAGAAGGGTGAAAAGATTGAGAGACATTTCTAAAATGTCCTCGGTGTCGTGTCTACTCTGAAATACATCTTTTTTTAGGAGCATAAACAGGAGTATCATACTCACTGTGAGAGGTCTGTAGGTGAGCAGAGAGCCCGTTGGCCTGGCTGAAGCCTTTGCCACACTCCCTGCACACGTAGGGCTTGTCTCCGGTGTGTGTGCGCACGTGACGCGTCAGCTCAATGGACTGGGCAAACAGAGCCTCGCAGTACTGACACGAATACATTTTACCTAAAAACAAACCACACACACATTACACAAACACATTTGTATTTTGTTTTTTCGGAGAATTGGTATTGCTTTGTGAATCCTGAGATGTGAGATCTGTTACAGCTCTTCAATCTGGTGCTAGTGTGTGTCCTACCCTCAGAGTGTTTCTTCTTGGTGTGGTAGGCCAGAGCAGCAGCCACGCTGAAGCTCATGTCACAGTTTTTGCAGTGGTAAGGCTTCTCTCCAGTGTGCAGTCGCATGTGGTTCTTGAGGGACGAGTTGGCCCCAAACTTGGCCCCGCACTCCTCACACGCAAACGGCTTCTCCTCAAAGTGCTCTGTGCGCTTGTGGTACAGCATACCTGCAGGAATACACACACAGTCGATGAAACTGGACACACATAACACACCAGGTGCACCTGCAGAATAGTTAAGACCTGGTAGGCCTGCTGTATATTAGTAATGGGTAAGATAGTGAGTTTCTCCCCTTCAATGTGAAGTGTTTTGCTACGCAGAACCTCTACACTAACACAATCCGTTCCCAGCCCCGATCGGGAAAACTGACCTGAGGGGTGAGCGAAGGTCCTGCCACACATATCACAGGACACCTGCGGCCGTTTCTTCTTGGCGGCTTTGGACTCTGGGTGAGCCTTGTTGCGGTGGAGCTGCAGTGCCCGCGATGTGGGCAGCTCCTCTGGGCACTCAGGGCACTGCAGCCTAGCCTCCTTGGACATGGTGCAGCGTTTGGTGTGGGCCACCATACGACACTTAAAGCCAAAGGCCTTACTGCACCAGCGACACGAGTACGGATGAGAGGGGGAGGAGCGCTTAGCCTTCGATCTAGCCTTCCTCTCTCCTTCTCCTTCTTTCTCACCGTCATCTTCATTCTCCTCCTCTTCTTCTTCCTCGGCGGTGTCTGCATCTGCAGTAGTGGGGGACTGGGGCTGCTCCTCCGGCTCTTCAGCCTCGGAGCCTGTGGATCAATGCAGCAAATCGTTGATTAGGCTAATTGATTGACCATTTGATAATGAATCGGTTGCCTGAGAAGGTTTTTAAAAAGTCCAAACAACAGAAGAGCGATAGATGGATCCCACTCACACACTTTAGTCAACTCAATTGTTGTTGTGTTGCCAAACATGTTGGCTAAAGCTTGAAACAGACTGGCAACCATGCTGTTGTCCTTATTTCCCCTACTCTGTACCTGTAGCTCCCTGGCTGCTGTTTTCTCCTTGCTGAGTGTGCTCCTGCAGCAGGGTTGCCAGATTGGGGTTAAACTCCTTGAGCAGGCCCAGCAGGGTGAGTAGTGTCTGAGCTGAGAGACTCCTCTGCTCTTTCACTCTGCTCTGGAGTCTCTGAAACACAGCAGGACCCCCGGGATCCCCCTCACTGCAGGACAGTATCACCTGAGATAGGTAAGGGTCAACACGTGAGAGAATAAGACTGGTTCACAGTTTTAAGGAATGGAGTGTTGCATTTCATTGTGCATTCTGTTATAGCAGAGACCACCCACTGGGCACAAACTGGTTGAATCAACGTTGTTTCAGCGTAATTTGTCCACGTATTGTGACGTGGAATCTACGTGGAAAATACATCGATTTGAAAAAAGTAATCAACATAAACTGTTTTTTTGAGGGTGACATTTCAACCACAGGATTATGTCACCATGGTAACCAAATTTCAACATAGACAAACCTTGTATAAAATATGTTGAATTTGTACCTTTAAAACAATGTCAGATCTTCAACGTTATAGCCACTATCAGAAAAAACAACAGGCTGGGCAGCACCTCCTACTGGAGTTTTGATCTATCTACTGCTACTCTCCCATCCAGGGTTTTAACAAAGCCCAGCCCTGCTGGTGATAACACATTCATCTGTTGTATAAATAAACAAAATATCTGACATTGTATTCCCATTTGAACTTTGCTGTGCTTTTAAATGGATGAAAGCACATTGATAGACATTTGGGTGACAACTAAACCAGAAATCTGACATTATTTTTCCATTGGAATGTAGTTGTGCTTTTAGATGGTTGAAAGCATAGTGATAACACATTGGAAATTCAACTAACTTTTGGCTGTGTTTTTGAGTGTGTGACTATAGGTTGTAATCTCATTAATCAACCTCTCAACCAAATATTACCCAATTATCCACGTAGAAATGACGTGTGCCCAGTGGGCACTGTCTTCCAGTCAATCCAAAGTCTCACCTGTCTCTCCTCAGTGGAGATGCCGTCCCAGGTCTGCAGTGCTCTGAGCCACGGCTGCACATCTGCCACCTCTGCATCCATCTTGACTCCTCCCTGGGACAGGGGGTCCACATCAGCTGCAACCAGGAAATAAAATCTTATTTGACATGTCACCTGACTCACAGGAGCGTCATAACAGAACTGATTAAAATAAATCAGGACATAACAGTAACAAAACAGAACACTGCAATAAGCCCGTTTGAATTGAAACCCACCTGTGCTCTCTGGAAGTTGAAGGCAAGCTCTTTTAGATGGTGGCCCATCCTTCTCTTTCCTCTCCTCTTTCACATTCACTGGCTCGCTCCGTGTGGCTGCTGTGGTCACTTCACTCTCCAAACCTGCCTCTTCCACCTTTCCCTTCCCCTGGGCTCCAGAGGGGCCAATCTTCACACCACCCTCTCCCATGCTAGGGGCAGCTGTCTCTGGGGAAGCTGTGTGCTCGGCCTCCTGGCTCTGGAGCTGTGGTTGTGTGGCGGCGGATGGTGGGGTTGGTGAGGCTGATTGTGTAGTGTGTGTGGTGGCGGTGGTAGTCGACTGATTCATCAGGTTGGTGAGGATGTTCTTGCAACCCACAGCTACGTCAAACATCTGCAGGCTGTCTGCGGCGGCAATGATGCGGGTGAAGTTGTGTTTCCCTGGGGGCAGCTTTCCGGTGTACACCATGTCCAGCAGGCAGGAGAACTCCTGGGACGACACCACGGCCGTGTCGATGGAGATGCTGTCCGAGCCCTCCAGCAGAGACCTGAGACAGAAGAGAGGGAAGTTGTGGGTGCATGTAGACTATACATTGTTTATAAATCACAATTTGTGTACTGTAGGCTATGCACTTTTCATAAATGAGGACAGTGCCATTTAATTGGACAGTATAAGTGACAAAGCTGCTTGATTGAAATGAATGATTAATTGATCAACCTAAAGAGCAGACTGGAGGCGGCCAGCACCAGTTTGTGGGCGCGATGGGGTGTGTCCCCCACCAGGATAGAGCAGTCACAGAACTGACTCTCCTTCCTCAGGGCACGGAGCTGCTGCATCAGCTGCCTGCTGTAGTTGGGCAGCTCCATCACAATCAGTCTACCTGCACAGGTATGGGGAATGAGGAAACATGGTAATGGCGACTGGCAATCTTCATTACATTTTAGTCATTTAGAGATTTAGAGTGGTGACATTTTTTTTTTACCCTTATCTTTCCAGGTTTTATGAAACAACCATACAGCATGATTATTGAAAATAAAGCCTTAAGAAATAAGCTTCACGCTGGACTGGTTATCACACTGGTGTGTGTGTGGCAGGGAGGGATGGGGAGTCTGTTCTTGTTTTTGAATCCATGTTACAGAAGGCACATGAAATTATGCATACAATCATCAGCTCCAATGGAATTGATTTGATGTGTAGAGGAAAACACTAAGCAGTGTTGTGATGTAATCATCAATACAAATGATGTACAGTATGTTATGCACCGAGGGAGATAGCAAATGACCTTGCTAGCTGGTTAACCTTTAACCTCTAATAGGTAACTACATCAAGTTACCTACTTGTTCAAAGTGATCTGATGTGAAAATATTGCAGAAACACAGAAAAGTAGCTAACATTAGATCACCAACATTTGTTTTTTTATTCTAAAGTAGACCATGCTACAACCTGAACCTACCCTGCTAGCATGAAAAGGACAGTGGAATTAGGTGACGAAATGTCAGAAAGAAACGATAAGCAACTACTAAATAAACTGATTAGAACACAAGCTAAAACAACTCCTCGTTCTCTTTACCTTGAATGTTATTCAAATAATCCGGCTCTTTATTTAAACCCCATCGATGAACAAACTAAACAGCGCAATAAAGCTTCGGTATTTTGAAATGGCGATTGCTCGCAAGTATGGATACAGAAAAGAGGAGATAGGAATCCCATTGGGCAAGGAATGGAACGTATAACGCCTCACACAGCAGACTGTTGACCAATCGAGTTCACGTTGTCATGCTGCGTCACGCAATCCTGTCTCAATGTCAGGGTATGAGTCGAGAAACCTGCCTATTTTCCTCGAAAGTATGTAATGTCACGATTACAAAGCTATACGATATTACAGAGAACAAGTTAATTATCTCACAATATGTGTCATGTTGTGAAATTCATGCTTATGTTGGGTTTTTGAGCTAGCGCCCAATTTACTCCCATACACTCCTTGAACGAGAGCTCTCCTTGTCCCAGAATCACCCCGAATGCATCGCGCACGTCAGACAACTTCCGTTCTGCCGCGATGCAGGTTATGTTTACATCCGGTGTCGCTTAGGAACGCTTAGCTAGTAGCACATCATTATGGAGTTCACCCAGTCCCTTTCACATCTGCCACCAATACGACTTAACGACGTAGAACGACTTGCTGACAAGTGGTCCCTTACTTCAAGATCGAAGCTTGATAAAGGCTACAAGTTCTTCGTTGAAGGTTACCTGTTTGATTATGAAGGTACGTGTTTATCTTTATTTAGCTTAAATTAGCCCTATGCTAGCGAAGGTTATGAGCTGACGAGTTTCTGTTTTGCAGCCTCTTTTTAATATTACTGCTGTTTGTATCGACCGTAAGATAAGAGTCAGTAATGTATTAATGGCTAATGCTGCGCCCTTTCTCCCAATCACTGTATTGAAACAGTCTCAAGTGTAGTTAACGGTGAGGTGACAGTGAGAGGGCGATGTTACAGGTCCGTGAAGAAAAATGAGGAGGCTCATCGGCTTCAGGTTTCTCAGATAAACAGTTCTCTAACATTATGATAAGATAGGTTAAGATAGATAAGTTTTCTTTTTGTTGTGTTTTGCTGCGGTTGCAGATTTAATAAGAATGATTCCACAAAGTTCCACTGTGGATCAGTTTGTTTCTCAGTCTGAGCTCTGATTTTGTATCATTAAACTTAATACACAACGAAATTCTTACAAACCGATGTGGGTTGTTGACGGCAATAAAGACTGGGAAAGATTCTGTGATAACTCAAAATGTTCAAATTTTCGATAAGTGTTGGCACTACTTGTCAAAGGTTTCAGAACAGCCAATTTTTCTTAATTAAAAAAAGAAATTGGGTTTTGAAAATTGTGTACAGTAGTTTATAATGAAACGCAGAAAAAATGTTTTGTAAGTACAGCACTAATTGTTATGTCTCTATGAACAGGTTACACTAGACTCTGCAGAGGTTCCTGTGGTACTCAATCACATGTCATGTTCCTGCTCTGCTGGCAAAGCACTATGTAATCACATAGTAGCACTTCTTTTTCAAAGTGCTCACTATGTTACCATGGGCTTTAAGACAGTGCCATTGCCTCTGTCATGCACCAGCGCACTGCAGACCTGGCACCGGCCTAGGACACAGGTCAGATATTATTTGTTACACTGATGCAGAACTTTGCAGTTTGTATTGACTTTTGACAATGTATTGTTCATCATTATTATATCACAGGGAATTGTACCAGAGGCCACCAATGATATGGCGGTGTGTAAACCAGCGGCTAAGAAAAAAACAAGTGTCAGAGCTGGTGTGAAGTGCACACTGTACCGAGCCTATGATGGTGAGTCTGAATGAGCCCCCGCCTGTACTAGAGCACAAAGACTTTAGTGCATTTCTAAAATAATACAAACATAAAAGTGATTATTATTTGTTACTTTTTATATAGACTTTCAGTGGATATTTTTTTATTTGTATTAGAAGCATGTACGAGACTGGATGAGTGTGGTTGTCTTTTTTAGTGAAAAAGATAAGGTGGCATTTAATGAAATCTAAACTTGACATATCTCACTTTCATGCCAGGGCCTATTCCGGATCCTCACGTCATGGCCAGTGCTGAGAAACTGAAAGACATCCGTCCACAACCAGGGATTTGCAAATTGCTGCACGGGCTTGAGGGCCTTAATTTGGTGGACTCTAAATTTGGCCCTGTGCCATTTGGGTCTGTGCTTTCTTACCAGTGCCCTCTAGAATTAAGTAGAGATATTATTAAACACCCTGGTGCCAGTGAGTTTCCTCAGTTGCCTATTGAAGGTTACAACTTTAAATTTCCCATTGATTTTGAGCCCAACTACATACAACAATGTCATTTGGACAGCCTGATTGTGTCAGAGGAGATGTCTGCTGCTATTGAAGCAGAAACAAGAATGCAGTCAGAATGCCAGCTGTGGAGCCAGGTACGCAAACCCCGACTGACAGCCAGCAGATTCCGTGAAATATGCCATGTTCGTGGGGAGTTGTCTGCCAAGGCTTTGGCAACCCGCATTCTGAGAGGAACTCCTCAGACAGCTGCTATGAGAAGAGGGTTGGATCTGGAACCTGAGATACTGAGGCAATATTCTGATTTTTGTGATGTCTCTCTGAAACAATGCGGGGTCATCATCCACCCTGATTCACCTCACCTTGCAGCCAGCCCGGATGCTAAAGTCTTCTGCCCAACAGAAGCACCACCATTTGGTCTTGCTGAGGTTAAGAGTTGCGATGTTGAAAATGTTACCCAAGTTAAAAACCTGATCACAGTTAAAGGCCAGGCCTGCCTTAAGAAGAGCCACAAATACTACTATCAGGTTCAAGGCCAACTCGCCTTAAGCGGACTTCAGTGGTGTGACTTCATTACAGATACCCGCACTGACTTCACAGTTGAGAGAATCTTTAGGGATGAGGAGATTATCCACTCAATGCGACAGAAGCTTGATCATTTCTATTATAACATCTACATGGATGTCTTCTTAAGTTATAAAACATAAGGCAGAATTTTATGTGTAAATAGTGTTAAGGTAAATGTGGAAGGTGAACCTTTGACATTTTTTTCTTTAACTGCAAATTAACTTGTCATATACTGTATATCTCCTATGTACTGAAACACACATTTTGAAAAGGATTGTGATGTAAATGTCGACATGTTTTTCTTTAACTGCAAATGAACTTAATTGTGTTATATACTGTATATCTATGTATTGAAATACAAATTTTGAAAAGGATTGCGATGTTGTAAATGCTCTTACCAAAATCAAAAAGGATTGGAAGCAGTTGCTTGCAAACATATATTTAATAGTTCCATCAGTGCCATGACACATAAGCACATAACATGGTTAATAGTTGGATATTTTTACAATATATCACATTAGGTTCATTAATAGCTATGAAAAAGTTATTACCCTTAACAAAAACATACAGTATAACATTAGATCAATTAAATTACCAACAAAGTTAATTCATATTTACATTTTTTTGTACATACAATACAGTAATATAAAAGTACTTCTATTTACAGCCCATCTAGCTTACTCAGGAAATATACAACTTCCAGTTGACAAAAACATCAGACTGGTTTGTCTCCTTTAATGTCAAGAGGTCCCTGATAGTTCGACATGAGGCAGCAGATGGCCCACAGCTGATTCACTGAACCCACTGTGGAAAGAGGAACAAGCCCATCCCAGATATGGTACTCCTTCACCCTCCGTATGGCCCTCTCGACTAAAATCCTCAGCCGGGCGATGGCCTGTTCTGTTTGTTGTTTGAACAAAATGGTACACTGCAATAGCATCTTCTCGAAGATTGTGCCATGCTTCGGTGTTGGATGGGATACTGTTGCGATACAGACACCGGGAGAAAAGAAACAGCTAAATTAACATTCAGCTTTGACCAGGAATCAATATTTATCTAGCTATCATGCACAACAGTATTTGAATAGGTGAGTTACTATACATTCATGAATAAACTAACTGCCTAACAAAGGGTTAGATAGCTAGCTAAGTAAACTTGTTACATTACAGCCAGGCAGCAATGTAACGCTACCTTTTAACGTTATCGGTATCTGGTACTAAGTTGTTGTTAGCTAACGTTAGCCCACTTTTAAGTAACTAAGGCAGTGAACAATTATGAATTAACAATAACGTTAGCAAGTTACAAACCATTGCATATACGTAAACATTATTACTCGTTGAGAAGTCTCAGGTTACGGGCGAACGGAAGTGAAGTTAACCTGCTACGCGGAAAGGCGGAAGTTAGATGACGTCATCGTGAAAAGGGCCTATTGAAGACCCATGGGAAACAATCCATCTCATCAAAAGTATCAATGGTATGGGTAACTGTATACGTGGAGTGTCTGAAAGTGGGCGTGTCAACATAAGTAGGTGGCTCAACAGCGAAAGGCGTTAGACCAGCGCTCTGTAATTGGTTAGACGGTTTTGATTGAGCGTGTTGTTTTACCATTTCTTAACCTCCTAATGTCAATGTCCGCGCCCCCGCGGCAATCTAATTAGCGTAATGCAAATCTGTCAATTTAAGATAGATATCTGGTTGTTTTTTTTGCATTGGATGCGTCTCATGTAACACTTCCGCACCTGCGGTGAAAGGAGACAGAGCTAGAGCGGTGTTTGTCAGACCATGAGACATCCCGAAAATCGGTGTTCTCTGTAGCGTTGGCCTACAAATTATTATGACCCCTCTATGGAAAGATGATTATTGGTCAACTGTGGGAAGCATTGGAGTCCACATGGGCCAGCATCCCTGTGGAACGCTTTCGACACCTTGTAGAGTCCATGCTACAACAAATTGAGGCTGTTCTGATAACAAAGGAGGGTGCCTCTCAATAATAGGAAGGTGTTTCTTAATCTGTGATTTGATGGGCTATGTATGATAGGGACACGTGCAATGTTTGTTATTGAATGTACTCTCATGTTTGTATTGTTACTGTATGCAGCAGCTATGTGTGTCCAAGACACATTTCCCCTTAGGGACAATAAAGTAAATCTTGAATTACCTTTGGAACACAATGGACGGTCCTGAATGATAGGCCTACATGTCATTCTGATACATAGCCTATTTATCTTGGCAAATATTAAGCTTTACACCTGATTAAATGTTGTAAAATGTGTATGTCCGAATCTATGGTTTTAAATGTCTGTTTGTACATAATGTTGTCATGTTTATACTGTATGTTCACCTGCCCGGGGACTGCAGATGTAAATTAGCTGTCAGCTAAATCTGTTGCAATGGATCACTTGTCATATTCTGAGATTTACAGTACCAGTCAAAAGTTTGGACACACCTACACATTCCAGGGTTTTTCTTTATTTTTTAAAACTATTTTTTACATTGTAGAATAATAGTGAAGACATCAAAACTATGAAATAACACATATGGAATCATGTAGTAACCCAAAAAGTGGTAAACAAATCAAAATATATTTTATATTTGAGATTCTTCAAAGTAGCCACCCTCTGCCTTGATGACAGCTTTGAACACGCTTGGCATTCTCTCAACCAGCTTCATGGAGGTAGTCACCTGGAATGCATTTCAATTAACAGGTGTGCCTTCTTAAAAGTTAATTTGTGGAATTTAATACGTTTGAGCCAATCAGTTGTGTTGTGACAAGGTAGGGGTGGTATACAGAAGATAGCCCTTTTTGGTAAAAGACCAAGTACATATTATGGCAAGAACAGCTCAAATAAGCAAAGATAAATGAAAGTCCATCATTACTTTAAGACATGAATGTCAGTCAATACGGAACATTTCAATAACTTTGAACGTTTCTTCAAGTGCAGTCAAAACAACCATCTAGCGCTATGATGAAACTGGCTCTCATGACGACTGCCAAAGGAATGGAAGACCCAGAGTTACCTCTGCTGCAGAGGATAAGTTCATGAGAGTTACCAGCCTCAGAAATTGCAGCCCAAATAAATGCTTCACAGAGTTCAAGTAACAGACACATCTCAACATCAACTGTTCAGAGGAGACTGTGTGAAGCAGACCTTCATGGTCAAATTGCTGCAAAGAAAGCACTACTAAAGGACACCAATAAGAAGATACTTCCTTGGGCCAAGAAACACAAGCAATGGACAGTATACTGGTGGAAATGTGTCCCTTGGTCTGGAGTCCAAATTTGAGATTTTTGGTTCCAACCGACACATCTTTGTGAGACGCGGTGTGGGTGAACGGATGATCTCTGCATGTGTATTTTCCACCGTAAAGCATGTAGGAGTAGGTGTTATGGTGTGGGGGTGCTTTGCTGGTGACACTGTCTGTGATTTATTTAGAATTCAAGGCACACTTAACCAGCATGGCTACCACAGCATTCTGCAGCGATACGCCAACCCATCTGGTTTGGGCATAGTGGGACTATCATTTGTTTTTCAACAGGACAATGACCCAACACACCTCCAGGCTGTGTAAGGGCTATTTTACCAAGAAGGAGAGTGATGGAGTGCTGCATCAGATGACCTGGCCTCCACAATCCCCCGACCTCCACCCAATTGAGATGGTTTGGGATGAGTCGGACAGCAGAGTGAAGGAAAAGCAGCCAACAAGTGCTCAGCATATGTGGGAACTCCTTCAAGACTGTTGGAAAAGCATTCCAGGTGAAGCTGGTTGAGAGAATGCCAAGAGTGTGCAAAGCTGTCATCAAGGCAAAGGGTGGCTATTTGAAGAATCTCAAATATATTTTGATTTGTTTAATACTTTTTTGGTTACTACATGTTTCCATATGTGTTATTTCATAGTTTTGATGTCTTCACTTATTCTACAATGCAGAAAATAGTAAAAATAAAGGAAAACCCTTGAATGAGTAGGTGTGTCCAAACTTTTGACTGGTACTGTATGCCAAGAAGCAAAATACAGTTTTCCATCAAAATAATAATTATTGCAAGTTTAAGAATGTTGCAAGAGAAAATATAAATCGCCCTTATTAAACTCTCCAGATCGTTTTCTATCAATGGATGTCGATTTAATTCGTTTTGACTGCTATGATTAAACAATAAGGACCTATGAGGTGTGATATATGGCCAATATACCATAGTATACCCCTGAGGAGCCTTATTGCTATTATAAACTGGTTAACAATGTATGTACAATAGTAAAAAGTGTTTGTCATTCCCATGGTACACAGTCTGATATACCATGGCATTCAACCAATCAGCATTCAAGGCTCAAACCACCCAGCTTATAATTGTAAATCAATCCTGTTTGCGCATGTGCATAACTATAGATAAATCCGACAGGAGAGTTTGAGTGATGAAAGTTGGACAGAGGATCTTAATCTCTGTGCAAGAAACACTTGGACAAACTTTTTAAAAAATAATGTTAGGCTATTTCTGGCAATTGTGCGTTCACTATGTGCCAGATGTTAAGACTACAAAGCATTCTAAATGGCCTATTTGTGAGATTGACTTATTTCAATAGGCATAGGCTAGGCCTACTGACTCAAATCTGGGTTTATAATTGCAATTCAACTTTGCCATGGTTTGCTGAGCTAGATGCAGGTAACGTTAGCCTATAGCCCCTGAAAGCATCTCATTTCAGGGAAAAGTCCACAATGAAACTGACATTAAATGTGGAGAATGATACATTTGCGACAGAGCTGTGACCATGATCCCAATTTATAACTTCCAATTTAATTAAGTAAACATGGCCATTAATAATTGCATAATAACACAAGGCTACAACAACAAACTTGAGTTATAGGCTATTTATTAAATCAGTTTGCCGGCAAGTGGCACAAATTGGTTTGCAATGACTGATATCTTAATTTCAATATATTTATTGTATCAAATGGTAGGCTACAGTAGCCTGCAATGGCATAGAAATTAATAGCCTACTTGATTGCCAACAGATGCAAATGTAGCCTATCATTCTCCACATGTCATTTGAATCAGCTTTCCATACACTTCTGTTGACACACCCACTTCCAGACACACGCCAGTATGCAGTTACCCATTACTCACTGCATGCTCCAAAAGGCATTTTGTTAAATCATCACATTAACAGACACAGATCTGGGATCAGTTTATCCTCTTTGGCCACACATACTTTTTACCCTACACAACCCTGACTGACCCAAGATCAGTGCTTAAGGAAAACTCAACTGTGCTCAATGTATATTCACTTATGAGAAATCAAAATGAGTGAAATAATTTTTTCTTCAATTGCTAAAGAATGTATGCAAATAGCAGTACTAAAACTACAAACACCAACCATCCGCTCTTGTAGCTGCAGTACAATACATCCAGACTTGGTTTAATGTGTATATTAGAGAATGAAATACAAAATGAGTCTATACTTACTTAATCCAATATCATAGTGGTCAGAGGGGCGGTTTCCAGGACAAAGGCTTAAATCTGTGTCGGGGAAACCGCCCATTGTATTTATCTACAGCGCACAAATAAGTCCAAAACAATTAATGTGTGAGAATCTGTACATTCAAATTAGAAGAAAACATAACTTTATTGCCCATATGAAAGAGAGAAAAGAACAGCTCACACTAAGGCCTGCATCTGTTTCTGACAAATCTAATCTAAATTTGTAATGTTTCTTTACTCATTTAAGAAATATACATATTTTCTTCTTCTAAATGTCACAAGGGAGTATTTTGTTAACTTTGTTGAGGTTGTTAAACCACCAAACAGTTACAATATTCAATATTTAACATTTGCATTATTTAAATATGTACTATGCATTCTTTAAATATGACCACAAGATTCCATTGAACGAAAAAATTTCTCTTGTAAAATTCAAGGAAAATTTTGTCCTACAATCGAAATACAATGGGCACCTTCTACGACTGGGCCTATCCTCTCAGAAGCCTACGGAAGCAGACAGAAGAGAGAAGTTTGGGCTCCACATTGGAAGATGCCACTCGACTAATGACCCGTTTCTACTCACAGTCCGGGCAAAGAGAGAGTGACCACAAAGTCCCAGAGAATGCATAAACGTCTTTAAATATTAAAAGCCAGCCGCTACTTTTGAACTGAGTGATAAAGAAAGGGTTTGCAACATAGTCACAGTTTAAAATATAAAAACAAAGAAAAAAAATTAAAGCACTTTTTCTCCATTTATGGACACTAATTCAAGCATTTTATTCTTGTTGTCCAGCTTCAGTCCGCTTCGAGGGCAGCGACTTATGTCCTCTTCAGTGGCCAAGAAGCCCAGTGCCTAAACGGATACATACGCATGTTTTATCAACATTGACATACAAATCGATAAATCTGGTCAAATTTAACATACTGCAGCTCAAGCACGTAGACATTGGCCATGTCCGAATACCCATACTAGCATACCACATACTTAAACTGCATACTATGTTACTCATTGTCGCATACTATTTAGCACATACCGTTTAGTAAAAAGTATGCCGTATGCCACGGCCGCAACGCAGTAGTGGCTCCTGATTGGCTGAGTAGGTGGGGCGGGGCCGAGTGAGGGTGGATTTTTCCAAATTCAACCGACCTGCATCGCATTAACCAGCCTGATAATAGCTCATTTCCAATTCTATTAATTTCTCCAAACTCTGAATAGAATAGGAATGGAGTAATAGGCTACTCAGGCTGGTTATAGGCAGACTATCACATTCCACCTATACTGTAGCCCATCTATCCTATTTAAAAAGGACTGAAGACAGAAACAGATCATTTGGTTCCATTTCAACATATTTATTAGTGAAACCAAAGTGCTGTAACATACATAAATTAAATTAAATAGCCTAGTACATACACCAAAATGTTTCAAATCAAAAGGCTATTGAACAAAAAAAAAAGACAGTTTGGTGAATCGCAAATTTAGAACCGCTGGACAGCAACATAATATACTAAAGCACTGATCATTGGGAACGAGATCAGAATGACTGCTAAGGCTTGATCAATAAATGAAATAGGTAGCCTATTTTTGTTGTTTGGCTACTTGGAAGGGAACTCGCAGCGCACCTCTTCCAATGAATCGTGGAAAAGTGTGCATCAAATTCTACTAGATGAAAAGCAGAAATGAGTATAACATCCTGCCATTTAAAACACTATTTTCGAAAATGTACATACTATAAAACTTGATATTTTCGCATATTGCGAATGCGTCGTGCGCGATTGCATTGTTTCGGGTTATTGGTTAATTTCGGTAGCACATCCCCATACCTTATTATCAGCTGTTGTCAAAGCCAAAATTAGTATGGCATCAGGGCATTTAAACTATACTCGATTTTCAAAACGTCACATACTACTCAAAGTATGGGTATTCGGTCACGACCATTGTCTAAGCATGATAGTGATCAGAAAATTTCCTTACCTTTAAATCCTTCTTCAGGCATACACACTGAGAAGAGAACACAGAAACAGTTGTTTGAAAATGGGATCTTTCAATTCATAGGTGACCGCGAAAAAGGAATTCCTGGGTGTACGAAAGAACAAACTGAAAAAAATATGTAAAGAGACAAAAATAAACATACCCTGATAAACATCATCCATTGCGGCAAAATCTGCTATGGGTTCATCAGCCTGAAAGAAAAAGTAAAAAACCACAGCTTCAGGAATGAGCAACTTCAAGAACTATTCGCTGATCGTCTCCAGTAATCACGTGACGACGTGTACACTTTCCCATTAGATATCCATCTGTCCAATGCTGGGTGCATCTTTCAAAAAAGTTCAAGTTTATAATCTAATGGGGAGTGTTTGTACCTTCAGACAGATGACGCTCTCTGGGATGACTCCTAGGCTGCCGAGGGTGGCAGAGTCGTCCGTTAGACACCGGCCGTCAATCGATAGGTTCTGATCAAAAGGGGCCACGGAGAAGGCGTGCATGATCTGAGGGAGAACCATTACAACACACCAGAGTTAGGATCAGGAATTCTTAGATTCAAAGGCAAGGATGATTTATTATGAACCCCTCGCCTGTATTTTGAGCTCCTTGAGCGTCTGATTGGCTGAGACAATGAGTGCTTTCTCTCCCCGGAGCTTCCTGTGCCTCGTGCTCCTCCTGATCCCCGATTTGCCACCACTGGCCATGGGTGCGGGACTTGACGCAGCACCGATGGTGCCGTCACTCAGCTTCTGACGCTTCGCCCCGTCCTCTGACTGGACAGAGAGGGTCATGTGACCAGGAAGCAAGGGCAACATTGGGCAAAATCCATGTCAATCATCCTCTAAAGCACTTCTCACTTTTACATTATTAGTAAATGGCTTAGTTTCCACAAAACTACTCAAAAATGTGATTCTTAGAGACTTATGAGCCATAAAAAGTGTAACTGAGGTGAGCGGGTTGTATCCTACCTGGCTGAAGTCAGGGTCTCGCTCTCCATCCACCTTAGCAACAGGCTCCTCCCTCTCATCCTCTGCCTCCGACCCACTCACATTCATCTCAGGAGCTGCATCCTTCATTAACTACAGAGGAAGACAGAGTTGTATTCTTCTCTGGAGATTCATACTATTTACATATTACACTCTGACAGACATATTTACTTCAGAGAGAAAGAGGTAGAAGGGGGAGCGAGAAAGGGACTCACCCTCTTGTCGTCCATGACCTTGCGTACGTAGACTGTGGCTTGTGCATACTCTCTCATATCCCTCTGCTGCTGGAAAATGAAGCCTTCTCTGCAGTCCCTACACAGCTCTGGTCACACACAAACACACAGTCAACTGTCACACAACACAGTCAAACAGTTCCTCTGCAGTTCTCAAAGAATCAGAACAGAACAACAGTCACACAGTCAAGGGAAAATCACGTGGGCTCGAATCTCACCAGGCTGGGTGGTGTACTCCACATTGGAGCCGTTGGGCGTGGCCTCGCTGATCCGGCAGATGGAGATTGGCTGATCAACCAGGAAGTGTCTGCTGATCACCTCCCATTCGTCGGGCCAGAGAAGAGCTATACTGTGCAGAGGGAACAGCACACAACATGAGACCAGGAGGGATGGATGATAAAGACCAGAGAAGTACTGTATAAAACACAACATGAAAACAACAACTTGAGTCAAGAGAGGTCAGAGGTCGGTGAAGTCACTCACTGTTGGGCGTCTCCCTTCAACATGGAGTCGAAGGTGAACATGAAGCCTCTATGGGGACATAGGAGCAAACTGTTCCCTACGCTAGACACTGGGGTGGTCTTAGCGGGCCTCCTACACAGAGAGACAGAGAGACAGAGAGAGACAGAGAGAGAGAGAGACAAAGAGAGAGAGAGAGAGAGAGAGAGAGAGAGAGAGAGAGAGAGAGAGAGACAGAGAGACAGAGAGAGAGAGAGAGAGAGAGAGAGAGAGACAGAGTCATTCATGCCATCTTTGACTTTTTTGGGACTGCTTCACCATCCAAACTGTTGGATTTGGAAAGGACTTACCTGATGAACCTTCTCCACTCGTCCACAAAAAACAGAGGAACTATGTAGAGAATATCTGTCTCCTAAAACAAAGATGGGGTTCATCAGTATGTCAACAAATATATTCAGTTCATCCAATAGTATATCTACTCTAAGAATTGAAGGAAGGAATTATTTAGGTTTTTGAACAGAGCCCTGCCTTATGTTTTATTATCAGTGTCCTAGCTGTTATTAGATTATTTATTACCAGTGTCCCAGCAGTTTTAATATCAGTGTCCCAGCAGTTATTAGCAGTTTTATTACCAGTGTCCCAGCAGTTAGCCTTTTTATTACCAGTGTCCTAGCAGTTATTAACTGATTTATTACCAGTGTCCCAGCAGTTATTAGCAGTTTTAATACCAGTGTCCCAGCAGTTATTAGCAGTTTTATTACCAGTGTCCCAGCAGTTATTAGCCTTTTTATTACCAGTGTCCTAGCAGTTATTAGCTGATTTATTACCAGTGTCCCAGCAGTTATTAGCAGTTTTATTACCAGTGTCCCAGCAGTTATTAGCCTTTTTATTACCAGTGTCCTAGCAGTTATTAGCTGATTTATTACCAGTGTCCCAGCAGTTATTAGCAGTTTTATTACCAGTGTACTAGCTGTTATTAACTGTTATTAGCCGTGTACTACCTAGTGTTATTACCTGTGGCCACTTGGTGAGTGTGGGCCTGTTCTTCTCCTGGAACAGGTTGAGTAGGGAGCTCTTCTGTTCTGATGCCATCATCCTGTTCAGAGCCTCATTCTCTTTCCCCTCTCGCTCCAGCCTCTACAAGAAAACACAGGGATATCACACAGTTAACACATTAACATTTGAGTCATTTAGCAGACACTCTTATCCAGAGCGACTTACAGGAGCAATTAGGGTTAAGTGCCTTGCTCAAGGGCACATCAACAGATGTTCCACCTAGTCGGCTCTAACCAGCGACCTTTTGGTTACTGACACAACGCTCTTAACCGCTAGGCTATCTGCCGCCCATTAATAGGAATGTGATTTGAACAATTAGGTTTTTTTCTTTACAAGGCTAGAGTAGACAGGAGTAGGGAGAGACATTGTTTTACAGGGTCTCTAATCCCTCCCACCTCGTCCGTCCGTCCATCCCTTCTTACCAGGCACTGCTGACAGGGCTCCTGTAGCTGGGTGAACTGGGGGGCTTTGGGGAAGTACACCCTCAGTTTGGACCACACCTCCTCAGTCACCAGCCGCCGCTCGCTCTCCAGGATACTCAGACCGCCGTGCCGACAGAGGATGTCCTCGTTGAAGGTCTTCATCTCCTCCTCTTCTCCATCCTGGTTCTCTGGGCCGTACTCTGGAATCAGACAGCAATAGTCAAACATAGCGGGCCACACTTTGATAAAGACAAGAATCAGACAGCAATAATCAATCATCATGATCTCTGCACAAAGAGGGGAATACATGTTATTTCTCACTTGATTCTAATAATAATAATAATAATAATAATAATAATAATAATAATAATGTAGTTCTCTACTCTACCTTCAGTCACTGTGATAACTGGTCGTTGTAAGATTTGTGATCTCTGCTGGTTTGTGTACCTTTAGTAGCAGTGATCTCTGGTCCCTCTCCGTTGGTTTTACCATCGCTGTGTTTGGTCTCCTCCTCGTCCTCCTCCAGCTGCTCCAAGGCCAGCTGTCTCCAGCTCCGCAGAGACGTCTTGCCCGCCCAGTACCCCTCATCACTGTCGGATAGGGGAGAGACGTAAGAACACACACGTGCACAGGATACAATCACTAGCTGCAGTATTACTAACTTTATTTTATTTTGTATAAGTCCATTCCGTCTACTTACAAAGTTACGGTTAATTTGACCTACCGTTTTACGGACACAAAATGATGCCATGAATCTGAGGGAGTCAGTGGTTACCTTTTGGGCGGGCCCTTGACAAGGTTGGTGACTTCTTTGTAATCCTCGGCCAGCTGGTTCTTTAGCCGCAGCACTCTGCATCTCTGCCCCACACATTCCTCACAGAGAGTTGAACCTGGACACAGGGTCACACACAGAAGAGGTCAGAGTTTGCAGAGAGCAGCTGAGAATATCCACTGCAAGTCAGCCATCGCAACGGCTCTTACCATCTAGCCTGGGTCCTCCTCCATATTTGTTGAAGAGAAGCTCTGCTGCGTTGACGGAGATCCTCTTGGCCTCCCCCACCTTGTCGGGGTGCAGTTTACCGTGAGAACACAGGAAGTTGCCGTTGTCGATTTCTTTGGTGACCGTCGAGTCATCCAACCATTTCTTCAGCCACTCCAGAGGCACAAACTCATACTCTTGGCCTGTAAGAAATAAACACAGAAACATGCAGGGTCCGACATTAACGATGGCCCGCAGGCCCGGGGCCAGGAACTTCTCAGCGCATTTTGCATTCCAGTTAATTTTTTATTTAACCAGGTAAGCCTGTTGAGAACAAGTTCTCATTTACAACTGCGACCTGGCCAAGATAAAGCAAAGCAGTGCGATAAAAAACAACAACAACACAGAGTTACATATGGAATAAACGACAACGTACAGTCACTAACACAATAGAAAATCTATATACAGTGTGTGCAAATGTAGTAAGTTATGGAGGTAAGGCAATAAATAGGTCATAGTGCAAAATAATTACAATTTAGTATTAACACTGGAGTGATAGATGTGCAGAAGATGATGTGCAAATAGAGATACTGGGGTGCAAATGAGCAAAATAAATAACAATATGCGGATGAGGTAGTTGGGTGGGCTAATTACGGGTGGGCTAATTACAGATGGGCTGTGTACAGGTGCAGTGATCGGTAAGCTGCTCTGACAAATTATGCTTAAAGTTAGTGAGGGAGATTAGTGTCTCCAGCTTCAGAGATTTTTGCAGTTCGTTCCAGTTTGACATCAAATACAATTTTGGTTGCATACACATATTTCGCAGATGTTATTTAAGCAATAAGGTCAGAGGAGGTGTGGTATATGGCCAATATACCACGGCTAAGGGCTGTTCTTTTGCACGATGCAACGCAGAGTGCCTGGACACAGCCCTTAGCCGTGGTACAGTCGTGGTCAAAAGTTTTGAGAATGACACAAGTATTGGTCTTCACAAAGTTTGCTGCTTCAGTGTTACGAGATATTTTTGTCAGATGTTACTATGGTATACTGAAGTATAATTACAAGCATTCCATAAGTGTCAAAGGCTTTTATTGACAATTACATCAAGTTTATGCAAAGAGTCAATATTTGCAGTGTTGACCTGTCTTTTTCAAGACCTCTGCAATCCGCCCTGTCAATTAACTTCTGGGCCACATCCTGACTGATGGCAGCCCATTCTTGCATAATCAATGCTTGGAGTTTGTCAGAATTTGTGGGTTTTTGTTTGTTCACCCGCCTCTTGAGGATCGACCACAAGTTCTCAATGGGATTAAGGTCTGGGGAGTTTCCTGGCCATGGACCCAAAATGTCAATGTTTTGTTCCCCGAGCCACTTAGTTATCACTTTTGCCTTATGGCAAGGTGCTCCACCATGCTGGAAAAGGCATTGGTTGTCACCAAACTGTTCTTGGATGGTTGGGAGAAGTTGCTCTCTGAGGATGTGTTGGTACCATTCTTTATTCATGGCTGTGTTCTTAGGCAAAATTGTGAGTGAGCCCACTCCCTTGGCTGAGAAGCAACCCCACACATGAATGGTCTCAGGATGCTTTACTGTTGGCATGACACAGGACTGATGGTAGCGCTCACCTTGTCTTCTCCGGACAAGGTGTTTTCCGGATACCCCAAACAATTGGAAAGGGGATTCATCAGAGAAAATGACTTTACCCCAGTCCTCAGCAGTCCAATCCCTGTACCTTTTGCAGAATATCAGTCTGTCCCTAAAATGTAAAATGTCCCTGATGTTTTTCCTGGAGAGAAGTGGCTTCTTTACTGCCCTTCTTGACACCAGGCCATCCTCCAAAAGTCTTCGCCTCACTGTGTGTGCAGATGCACTCACACCTGCCTGCTGCCATTCCTGAGCAAGCTCTGCACTGGTGGTGCCCCGATCCCGCAGCTGAATCAACTTTAGGAGACGGTCCTGGCGCTTGCTGGACTTTCTTGGGGCGCCCTGACGCCTTCTTCACAACAATTGAACCTCTCTCCTTGAAGTTCTTGATGATCCGATAAATGGTTGATTTAGATGCAATCTTACTAGCAGCAATATCCTTGCCTGTGAAGCCCTTTTTGTGCAAAGCAATGATGACGGCACGTGTTTCAATGCAGGTAACCATGGTTAACAGAGGAAGAACAATGATTTCATGCACCACCCTCCTTTTAAAGCTTCCAGTCTGTTATTCTAACTCAATCAGCATGACAGAGTGATCTCCAGCCTTGTCCTCGTCAACACTCTCACCTGTGTTAACAAGAGAATCACTGACATGATGTCAGCTGGTCCTTTTATGGCAGGGCTGAAATGCAGTGGAAATGTTTTTTGGGGATTAAGTTCATTTCATGGCAATGAGGGACTTTGCAATTAATTGCAATTCATCTGATCACTCTTCATGACATTCTGGAGTATATGCAAATTGCCATCATCAAAACTGAGGCAGCAGACTTTGAAAATTAGTATTTGTGTCATTCTCAAACTTTTGACCAAGACTTTATATTGTCCATATACCACAAACCCCTGAGGTGCCTTATTGCTATTATAAACTGGTTACCAACATCATTAGAACAGTAAAAATATGTTTTGTCATACCCATGGTATACGGTCTGATATACCATGGCTGTCAGCTAATCATCATACAGGGCTCGAACCACCCAGTTTATAATGCGGTTTTAGCGACATGTACCTGCCCCGTCACAGTCTGCCATTGAAAACCATTGAAGACAACACACGGAAAAGTCATGCCATTTGTATTTGAGCAATATCAAATATTGCACTGCATCGCAGTGCTAGCTGTGCCACTAGAGATCCTGGTTCGAATCCAGGCTCTGTCGTAGCCGGCCGCGACCGGGAGACCCATGGGGCGGCGCACAATTGGCCCAGCGTCGTCCAGGGCAGGGGAGGGAATGGCCGGCAGCTGTGGGCAGTGTGATTTGTGTGCGCTGTGGTTGGTTGCAGTCTAATTTCTTTACACTGAGGAGGGGGAGAGCATGATGCTCCTTCATCGTCTCTGTGAGTGAATTTCAAGACACTACAGTGTGACCATTTTACTAGCATTTGCACCTAAAAATAAATGTGTGAACTGAAAAGGTAAAGTATGAGCACATGTGTGAGTTGTGATTTATAGCAAAAAAAACATGGGTTTTTAAGATGGTTGTGTTGGATCCCGTGTAGCTCAGTTGGTAGAGCATGGCGTTTGCAACGCCAGGGTTGTGGGTTCAATTCCCAGGGGGGGCCAGTATGAAAAATAAAAAAATAATGTATGCACTCACTAACTGCAAGTGGCTCTGGATAAGAGCGTCTGCTAAATGACTCAAATGTAAAAATGTCGTCAAACCCACACCACGCTCCCTGCATGTCACAACTTGTCATTCTGGAGAAGTACATCAGTTGATGCACTGCACACGGGAGCTGTGCAGACTGCAGAGCAAAAAGAAGCACTCATCAATCCACACGCTGAGCTTATTTATTTATTTTAGGGAAAGTGATTTACAAAAGTAAACCTTCTATACCGAACAAACCAGCAATAGGCTGGCTACTGTTGATAGCATAAAAAAAAAAAAAAAGCATTCATCTTGGCAAGCCTACTGCAGTGGAGTGCTGGAGTAGTGAACTACATGTAGTTCAACTAGTAATTTAACTACATTTTGTTGTAGCGTGGTGGTAGTTGAACTAAAGTCAAATCTAGGTAGTGTTTTCAGTAGTTCATTACTTTTTTGCCGTGTAGCTAACTACTGGAACTACACTATTTTGGGGCAAAAATAAAATATGGGTGAAGTAGGCAAGAATATCCTTTCTTTTTCACATCAGACCTGCCTCATTCTCACTTGAAACTATTTCACATTCTGTAAACATATTTTTTTCTGATTTGGATGTAGTGAACTACTTTTTAAAAGTAACTTTAGTTAAGTCAACTACATTTTTCTTAAGGGGTAGCTTTATTGTAGCTTAACTTGTTCCAGTGTAAAGTAATTGGTAGCTTGGTAAACACTATTTTCAGAGTAGCTTCCCCAACACTGGTGGTTTTCAACTGGTGTGCCGCGAAACCTTTCCTAATCTTGATACATTTGTTTAACACTCACTTATAAACGTGACCTGTGGAATGAACATGGAATTTTGACTTGGGAGTACCAGTGCAGCAAAGACAATACATTGAATGGCAGGCACATGGTTACATCTGTATCGTTGTTTCAAGTCTAGTTCGCTCAGGCTGTTGTTACGGTATCATTTGAGGGGCGCGCATCACAAGCAAAGTCATATGTATAATTGACTTTGCCTGTGAGAACCATTAGCACAGGCAAGTCTGATTAGGCTTAGCTGTACCACACAGCCTCTGCCATAGAAACAAACTAAGCATGGCTTCGTGTCCGTGGTCGCACCTTTACAATTCAGCAAACTGCTCGTCTCTAGCGCAAACTGTTCAAAACTAAATACACTATATACACACAAGTATGTGGACACCCCTTAAAATTAGTGGATTCGGTTATTTCAGCCACACCCGTTGCTGACAGTTATAAAATCGAGCACAACGCCATGCAATCTCCATTGACAAACATTGGCAGTAGAATGGCCTTACTGAAGACCTTACTCAGTGACTTTGAAAGTGGCACCGTAATAGGATGCCACCTTTCCAACAAGTCAGTTCGTCAAATATCTGTCCTGCTAGAGCTGCCCTGGTCAACTGTAAGTGCTGTTATTGTGAAGTGGAAATGTCTAGGAGCAACAACGGCTCAGCTGCTAAGTGTTTTTTCTTCTTCTTCTGAGCTTTCTTGTATCTCCTAGATATAGGACAGACACTTCAAAACATTCTTCCTTATGATTTATTTTTTGACTGTCTTTTTTATCATTTATGAATGTGTTTTCAATGCGTTTATATGGGCTATAGCGGTAAAGGCCAAATTCAATGTTATATCAAATATATATATATGTTTTTATACCTAGAGGGGTCCTAAAATTCTAAATCAAATAGCTAAATGATTTACATTTAAGTTTTTTAGCAGACGCTCTTATCCAGAGCAACTTACAGTTAAGTGAGTGCATACATTTTCATACTGGCCCCCGGTGGGAAACGAACCCACAACCCTGGCGTTGCAAACGCCATGCTCTACCAACTGAGCTACACGGGATCCAACACAACCATCTTAAAATTCCACGTTTTATTTGCTATAAATCACAACTCACACATGTGCTCATACTTTATCTTTTCAATTCACACATTTATTTTTAGGTGCAAATGCTAGTAAAATGGTCACACTGTAGTGTCTTGAAATTCACTCACAGAGATGATGAAGGAGCATCATGCTCTCCCCCTCCTCAGTATAAAGAAATTAGACTGCAACCAACCACAGCGCACACAAATCACACTGCCCACAGGTACCGGGAGGCGGGACAGACAGCAGACTGTCAAACTAGCAGTGTTTCCCTTTCGTCGCTCACTTTGAATGACAGGCGCCTGCCCTATCAATAGATCGCTAGAAGATGCATATCGTTCATTCTTGCGGGAGGGGGCTCGGCTGACTTTTTCTGACAAATTTATTGAAAAGTAGCGTAGTTAATGTAAGTGGAAAAGGTAGTCGGCTGAAAATGAGTCTGTTAAGCCGACAGCCAGCACTAGTGAAAAACACCGGCATTATACACCATCATGAACATAGAACTACTTTCATATTGCAATATTGTGATGTGTCTGGGGTAATGTTTTTACGAACCATCTTCCGCTGGTAAAAGCTCGTACAGTTCCTTCACCTCTTCGTGCTTGGCCTTGCCCTTGTCAACGCTCTGCTTGCGCATGTCGGCCATTTCCAGGCACCACTCCTCAAACTTCCTGTTGTCTCGGTCCACCAGCCTCTCCAGAAAGCCTGGCACAGATAGAGGGATCCCACTGACATCACAGCTCCCATAGCTGGGTTCAAAGGTCATACAACCACAACATTCTAACCACAAGGCTTCTGCAGCAACAGGTAGTGTACCATGCACATTTAGCCAATTTTACAATATCAGGGAATATAGAACAATACAATTCACTAGGGAATAATCTTACTAGGGCATAGCTTTTACCACCTATACATGTATTCTTACCTATTTTTACCTGGGGTGTTGACTTCGTGACTATTTGAATCAAGTATGTCAAAGGTCTGTACAAACTGCAGCCCTTTAGCTAGCTCAATTCTTACCTTGCACATGATGTATTGTACTACAGTAATCACCAGGTGCAGTACAGTAGTTAGATTCTCACCTGGCACCTCAACGTTGGTCTCCATGGGGTCAGTGTCCTCCTCTCCCTGGCTCTTGTACACCAGCATGTAGGCGTTCCTGGAACAGTGGTATCCTTTACTGCACTTGGGCTTACGGGTCTGGGACTTCACAGTCTCGGCTGGAGAAAGACCAGAAGAACAGCAGAGAATGCGTATAAGAGAAGCAGCGATGAAGAGTGGTAAGGGCGGGACATTTACCACTAAACAGCTGCCCATTTTTAACCAAGATGTATTACAAAATGATACAGCTACAATTCAGGGAAGTGAATGGAAAGAAAAGGGAGGAGAGGTGAAGGGGGGTACAAGTGGACTAAGGCAGGGAGGAGCAGGGACTCAGGGAGGCTCACCGATGTCCTCCTCTAAGCCCAGCTGTAGCTTCTTGCCCTCCATCTTCTCAATCTCCTCGTCGTTGAACTTGTACCAGTCGCTGGTGCGGGCGTCTCGCACGTGGGCGATGTAGTGACCCGAGTAGGCGCTGACCCCGCGGTGGATCAGGACTGCACTCAGCTCGTACACACACTTCTCATCTTCTGGGGATGTCACCCAAAGAGGCCCAAAACAAACACACACACACAGACTAACCAACTTTCCACAGCATGGATTATGTGTGTCTGCAGCCTTATCATGGGTCGTTCCATTTGATTTCATTCACTTTTTGACCCCACCCTACCATGAGACATCCATGTCTTCATCACCGGAAAAGATAAATGGTTGAGTTTGATATATTTAAAAAAGTTTACAAACAGGGTTGTCAAACTATTTTATAATTTATTATTTCTATAAAAATTCTATAAAAAGTACATCTAAAATTCATACAAATATACTGCAATTTAGCTAGTAAATCATTGACATTTTATTTGAATTACATTTTCTACTTCTAATTACTATCACAAAGATGGCCGCTGTTCCACCAAACGTTGAATGTCGACCTAAAGAGTAATGTCTATTCGATTATCTATATTTCTATGATTTCAATAGGTTTCCAAATGGCAGATTGACAGTGTACTTTTAAAGAAATTACATTCCCATTCAAGTCAGTATCTCTGATGTGTGGACCTCCAACCATCGTTGTGCTACCATTTGAAAGTTGACATTTTAATTGTATTCGCACTTTAAAACGTTTATTAGCCAAAACATGACACCCTCCCTGTATTCGAGAGCATGCTGTGTCTCAACCAATGGCGGGCACAACACAAACACTTCAGATGATGTAAAATATTATCTAAGTTATAACATATGCAAAAATGAAAAACAAACTGACTTTACGCGTTAAATAATTTGTGAAAGGTTAAGAAAATTACTTATTACAAAACATTTTTTAAAAGAAATTATCAAATTGATATCAAGTCAATCGTAAAAAATTTTCCAGTGTGAAGACAAGGATGTCATCTCATGGTATGGTGGGGTATGCAAAATGGGTCATTCAGGTCTAAAAAGTTACTTTCGGACCAATTCTACCATGGGCAAATATGCATAGAAAGTTTCATTCAAATCAAAAGGGGTGCCGTCAAAAAGTGATTGAAATCAAATGGAACAACCTTCATACCATTGTCAAAAATACTCTCACAGAACTTCGGTCATGTAGCGCAACATCAAATACGTCACGGGTAGGCGTGTCCGAGCATAGAAGATGACGCGATATCCATCTTTATCATGAAATATTTGGTCACATGTTCAGAATGAGGCTGGCAATACCTTTTTCCTCCAGAAACGGGCCCATGTCCAGCTGCTCTGGGAAACTGATGAAGGTGTTGAGCTTCTTCTTGTGACCAGTTTGTCTGGAAATCAGAGGTGGAAAGACAACATTGAGCAACACCACCGAGTTAGAGTTGTTGCATTGACCCTCAGTGATAGTCTAATGCATATGGCCACTCCTCAGGGTGGGTAGTAAAGGGTGCTAGACTAGAGACTACAGACTGAATGAATCAAACTGACCTGTCGAAAACGAAACGCATGAGCTGCAGGTTGAGTACCCGTGGGAGGCTGTGCAGTTTGATGCGTCGAGTGGCGTTCTGTTTGCTCTGGCAGCTCTCACAGAAGTAGCGGTTGTCACCATCCAACTTCTCCTCCTGCAGGGAGAGTTCACAGGGTGATTTAATAAAAAACTCAAATAAACCCAACTCACAAATATTGAGTGTTGTCACAATTAATGTCAAATGTGCATAAAGATGTCGGAATTCAGATATGACGTCATTATTTAAAAACCATCCATTGAGTTCAATGCAGCAATATATCAGCACAATCTACGTTTTTCTGATTCTCAAATTGCCTGCGTCTTGGAGCATGTATACTATGCTAATGACGATACAAAAAAAGATTAACGGAGAGCAATGTACAATACGGCTAACTTGGTAAACAAGGCATTTGTGGTAAGTGCATGGTTGCCTAAGGGCCACACACCAAAAAAGGCTTCAGAAAAGGCATTCTGTGACTCAGGAAACAAAACTACAACGTTTCAACATCATTACATAGATAATTTTATGAATATGAACACTGTGTTGTTCAACACTTGTAAAAGTTGCACATTAATTTAAAATTATAAATCAAAAGGACCGATTTTGAAATCATTGCACATTTTGGGTAATTTCCCCTAGCAACAGTACGAGGTTGCATCTTGGTTACAATTGTTACACACGTTCCGTTGTCCATGCTTGCAGAAAGCAACGCATGTACCGGACCGGACGAATCACGAAACAATACGAGATAAGAAGCTGTTGAAACATGCTGAATAGATATTTCACAGAAGCCAGAACAGCGCTTTATTTAGCTGTCAGGTCCTTGCTTGTTTTGAGAGCTGTGTTAGCCAGCAAACGTTGTGCCATCTTTAGTTTGGCTAGCAGGCAAGAGCAATGACGGCCCTTGTAGGCTAAATACAGCTGACAAAATGTCTTATATTAACAGAGAAAAATTACTGTACATGGTTAAAACATATTTACTTTACTATGTTGGTTGAGCTGATGCAAGGATGAACACCGAACGCACAAATAGTTATGTTTGCCAGTGTGCAACAAAAGTAACCAAGACTAAACTTAGCAACGTCGGAGCACACGCGCTGTGATTTGATGCTAAATTTCAAAACTTTGATTAAATAAAAATGGGCAAATATTACACGTTTTGAATCGCACAGTATTCATGTTCAAAACATTAACTACATAGTGTAGTTGAAATTTTGCAATTCCATTTTTGGTGGGTGGCCATTGGACTGTGCCGGGCCCTATCTTTATGCACCTCCGCTGTTACCTAGGGGAAATAACCCTGATGTCCTAATTCATTGTTACTTGCGGAACTCTGACGTCAAAATGCATTGATACCTTGGGGAACAGATGTCAATGCATTAATACCGTTGGGAACACTGATATCATTACACATTGTTTCAAGTTTCAATGTCACGTGCACAAGTACAGTGAAATACCTTTCTTGCACATTCTAAACCCAACAACTCAGTAATCAATATAAATGTAGTACTAAAAATAACATAAGGTAGAAAAAAACACAAGAAATAAAAATAAGAAAAACATGAGTAGTAAGAAGCTATATACAGGGTCAGTTCCAATACCATATTTACAATGTGCAGGGATAGTGGAGCGATATGTATAGACGCAAGTCGACTAGGCATCAGGATATTTGATCAACAGAGTAGCAGCAGCGTACATGATGATTGTATGCGAGTGTGTGTCTAGAGTCAGTATTAATGTGTGTGCGAGCAAATGGAGTGTGTGTGTTGAAGTGTCAGTGTGCATGAGTGTGTAGAGTCCTGTGAGTGTGCATAGAGACCGTGCAAAAAAAAAAAAATGTAATACAAGGGCCAACTCAGATCATCCATTTTGTTAGCTATTTAGCAGTCTTATGGCTTCATTGTTACCTTGGGGAACTGATGTCATAATACATGGTTACCTTGAGGAACTCTGTGACACATTCTGTAAGGTTCTTGTGGCCCTGGATGTTGAGCTCCAGTTCGTAGAATCGGGACGGCAGAGGAGAAGCACGACCACACTGGTTACACCTGTGTCATAAAGCCAGAGAGGGAAACACTCAGGGACAGGTTTACTCAGTGTCCGTACCAGTGCAAAGTCTGCACCTGTTATTTCTTTTTCTCAGAGGACTGAAATGTATCTGTGTTCTGTAGAAGTCTGGGTTGATTTACATTATTATTATTATTTTTTTTTAAACATTTTTAGTCATTTAGCAGACGCTCTTATCCAGAGCGACTTACAGTTAGTGAGTGCATACATTATTTTTTATACTGGCCCCCCGTGGGAATCGAACCCACCACCAACTGAGCTACATCCCTGCCGGCCATTCCCTCCCCTACCCTGGATGATGCTGGGCCAATTGTGCGCCGCCCCATGGGTCTCCCGGTCGCGGCCGGCTACGACAGAGCCTGGATTCAAACCAGGATCTCTAGTGGCACAGCTAGCACTGCGATGCAGTGCCTTAGACCACTGTGCCACTCGGGAGGTTGGCAACAAAACTAAACAAGGTAGTCCAAAAACATTTTTTTGATCTTGATCCAAAATCATATGGCAAAAGCGTGGCCCAGATAAAAGCATAACCTTTGTAGCCACAAAGCCAGAACCTCTAGTAAAAAACCCTAGTGTCTGGCCTGACATAGACCATCCAGTTAACCTGACACAGCACTTTTCCATCTGCCTTTATGATGCTAATAAAAGACTGTTAAATCCTATTTCACTTCTGACTGGCACCACCACTGATATCAAAGCACAAAATAGTCAGACGCTTGACTTTATAAAAACCCACCCATAAAGCAAGAAAGGACAAGGACATCTCTCATGGCAACCGGAAGATTCCAAATTCTAACAAATAAAACTACAACTAGGTTGTTAGAATGTTATTTAAGTCTGATTAAAGTTCATGGGTGAATGTATTCCTGGCTTACACAGTGAAGTAAGACATCTGTCCACAGAACTGCTGCTGGATGACATTCTGCAGGTTTGGGTTCTTCTGTTTGGATAAGGTGTCCTCCAATAGCGAGAGGAAGAGCTTGGAAAACTCTTGCGCGTCCTGAAAGTGAAAGAAAGGAAGACAGGTAGGAGAAAGAGAGAGTAAAATAAAAACACAGTTTCAATTTTAATTGTATTATTTGTTTTCTTCCTATAGCCACTGTCAAAACAAATAACCTTCTTCCAAACATTGTGAACTCTTCACACAGACTTTTCCTGTACATGTAAAAATATAATTGGTCTCTACCTGCTGTTGTCCTGTGTCCAGCCCCAGAGCCTTGACCAGCCCTGATGGGTCGATGTACCTTCTGTTGCTGTTCTGCAGCAGTGCAAATAGGTACTGCAGGTGTTCACATATGCTGCGAGGCTCGTAGTCTGAGAAAGGGAAAAATGTGTTTCAGCTCTACAATTTGGGTTTATCTGAGGTCATCTATATGGTTGGGCTTATCTCTGAGGGCTTGCACACCTGAGTCCATGTTGTGCTCCTCTGCCCTGGCGTTCTGACACAGGTACAGGGTCCTGCGCAGTTCCAGGTTGTGGAACCACACCTGCAGAAAGGTGTTGACGTAACACGTAGCGCCCAGGTTTGTCAGACCCACAAACGTGTTCTAAGAGGGAGGGGAGAGGGAGGAAGTTCAAACAAACTTGTCTCTTACTCATCCAGTGTTTTCAAATCAGTGCAGATCAAAAGGCAGACAGTTTAACTTGAAGTGGAACTAAGTAATGTGGATTCACAAATAGGCAGGAGCACATCCTTGCAGGTGTAAATCTGTGTTCATGTTGAACGTTGTGGAGGTAGGCCTACCTTGTCCCGACGCTCCGAGTTTGGATCGTCAATATTGTGGAAGGTGTTCTCGTCGATCTCTCCCAACCAGGCATGTTCCCCAATACCGACAAGACAATTTGGGTTCCCTTTGCAATTCCTCCTGTATAAGCAAAGTCAGGGGGAGAGACGTCAGTATCCTAACAACAATCTCTTTCACATATTTTTCAAGCAAAGATAGTGGCTTCAGGCATTAAAGGAAAAATCCAACCAAAACCACTCATTCCTTATTTACTGTGTTAGACAACACTAATATGTGAGAATAATATTTTCTGTGAACAAATGTTTCATTTTGGCTTTATAATAAGTTTGGTAGCAACATGGAAAATCGTTGTGGCTAGCAAGCGAACGAAGCTACACACAATAATACCAAAGACAGTTAGCTGTAAAATCGCCAAAAAAAAACATGCACTAATCTCAACATTTTGAACCTGCAGATCGGTGTGGCTCAGAGTGGAGTCTGACATTCGCAACGGCAGATATACTTTTGAGGAGATGGGAAACGTTTCCCATGCTACGTCAATGGGCCACGCGGTGCATTCAAGCGATTCTGGGACAAGGAGCGCTCTTCTTCAAGGAGTGAATGGGAGTCTATTGGGCGCTTGCTCAAAAACCCAACATTAGCACGAATTTCATCAACCTGAAGTACAACATTACAAATATTTTCCTAGATGTGAGATAATTAACTTGCTCTCTGTAATATCGTATAGCTTTAAAATCGTACATTACATACTTTCGAGGAAAATAGGCAGGTTTCTCGACATATACACCGACTTTGAGAAGGGATTGTGTGACGCAGCATGACAGTCTGCTGGGTGGGGCGTTATACGTTCCTTCATTCATTGGATTGCTATCTCCTTTCTATAATATCTCTGATAACGGCACCATGCAATGCACCCTGGACTATAGAGGCAGACAGATAGGAAGAATGTGCTAGACCCTCCGTTAAATTACACATTTCTCGTGGAAGGAATATCGCAAAAATACGATCAATGGCTCATTCGCGAGAAGACATCCTCCCGAGTTATGACATTGACTAGTATTGAAATCTGACATGTATGATAGACGGTTTCGCGATCTAAAAGTCGTATTCCTATTAACTTCCAGTGTAGTGAGAGCGACTATCACAGTGCTACATCATACTGTCCGGATTTCTGCCTGCTTGAACGCCAATAACTCAGATACACATGAAAACATTAAATGACCCAAGGAATCGATAGAACATCACTCAGATGCACAAAAGCAATATAACATTCAAAATGGGTCAACCTTTCCTTTAATACCAAGGAATGACATCAAGCATTAGGAAGCAGATAAAGTAATTATATTACAGTGGAATTCCCTGTGAGACTCCAATCTTTCACTTTAAAAAATGCATGCCAAACAAAAACCACTGAGTTTTAAAAAACCATACAACTCTATGCACAATATTTTGAAGAATTTATAAAGTAAATAAAATAAACTTACTGGAAAAACTGTGCAGATGCTAAATCTCCCTCAGTTCTATTATGTTACCAAACTTTGTATCTCTACAGTGCCTGTAAATATGTTTTAACAATTTCCACTGAACATTTAACAAGGTCCCAAACAGTCATTCTGATTCATGTAAAATAGTATTTTGAGTGACTAAAATAAATCACCCATAATATTTTTGGGGGAATAGAAATGCTAAATATGTCCATAGACAAACATTGGCAGTAGAACGGCCTTACTGAAAGAGCTCAGTGAATTTCAACGTGGCAACGTCATAGGATGCCACCTTTCCAACAAGTCAGTTCGTCAAATTTCTGCCCTGCCAGAGCTGCCCCGGTCAACTGTAAGTGCTGTTATTGTGAAGTGGAAATGTCTAGGAGCAACAACAGCTCAGCCGCGAAGTGGTAGGCCACACAAGCTGACAGAACGGGACAGCCGAGTGCTGAAGCGCTTAAAAATCGTCTGTCCTCGGTTGCAACACTACCGACTTCCAAACTGCCTCTGGAAGCAACATCAGCACAAGAGCTGTTCGTCGGGAGCTTAATGAAATGGGTTTCCATGGCCGAGCAGCCGCACACAAGCCTAAGATCACCATGCACAATGCCAAGCATCGGCCGGAGTGGTGTAAAGCTCGCCGCCATTGGACTCTGGAGCAGTGGAAACGAGTTCTCTGGAGTGATGAATCACGCTTCACCATCTGGCAGTCCAAAGGACGAATCTGGGTTTGGTAACGTTCTCCTGGCATCTGCCATAGTGCCAACTGTTAAGTTTGGTGGAGGAGGAATAATGGTCTGTGGCTCTTTTCCATGGTTCGGGCTAGGCCCCTTAGTTCCAGTGAAGGGAAATCTTAACGATACAGCATACAATGACATTCTACACGATTCTGTGCTTCCAACTTTGTGGCAACAGTTTGGGGAAGGCCCTTTAATGTTTCAGCATGACAATGCCCCCGTGCACAAAGCGAGGTCCATACAGAAATGGTTTGTCGAGATCGGTGTGGAAGAACTTGACTGGCCTGCACAGAGCCCTGACCTCAACCTCATCAAACACCTTTGTAATGAATTGGTACGCCGACTGCGAGCCAGGCCTAATCGACCAACATCAGTGCCCGACCTCACGAATGCTTGTGGCTGAATGGAAGCAAGTCCCCGCAGCAATTTTCCAACATCTAGTGGAAATCCTTCCCAGAAGAGTGGAGGCTGTTATAGCAGCAAAGGGGGGACCAACTCCATATTAATGCCTATGATTTTGGAATGAGATGTTCGACGAGCAGGTGTCCACATACTTTTGGTCATGTAGTTTACTTTCTCTCATGGCTTGCTACCAGGAAGATTGAAAAGACAGGCTGAGTGGGTGGGAGCTTATATTCATGAGCTCACCTTTACTGACAGCTCTTTGAAACATCTATATCAAGAAACTTGGTTGCATTGAGCAGTGTTGCAGTAAAATCATCAAGCAACTCAAACATTGAAATTGCATCTGTAGCTAGGTTTCCATTCAATTGGCGAGAGATTTTCATACGAATATTCTACAATCTGCATAAAAACAATGTGCTTTTTCCCACCAGAGATGTTTCCATCCAATTGACTTGTTGCAGATAAAAGGCTATGCATAATAATAATAATAATATAATAATGCATGATGACGTAGTGCATATAAAAAATACATTTTGCTGTTAAATGGGTTACCATCACATTTTAAACTCTACTGATGGATTTCTCACAAAATAACTTGCGTTATATAGTGTGTGTGCCCACTCTGGTATTGGCACGTGCGCTCTAGCCAACAGTACTGTATCTGCGCGCTGTTGGCTAGAGCACACGTATAGCCTTATTTTTGTTTGTCAAACTGCAGCCGAGCATTGAGGATCATGTCACCAGAATAAGACCCTTGATATTTATTGGAAAGGAGCATCAAGCTCATCACCTTGCACTTTCACCACCCTGTGAAGTTAATATTTCATCTGTAGCCTAATAAACTGCATGCTTTCCCGATGAGTCAGAGTGAGAGGACCACACCCATGTCATCACGTGACAAAGTTTACTTCGATATGTTGCACCAAAAGCATTTACACTGACATTTCTTGCATAATTCCTTTTACCGACACAAAAAGTTCCCGTGTCTAGCGTATTTTGGTTTATCGAAATGTGGAACATTTACAGAAAAAAATGGTCTGTTTCCATCAGGCCTGTCATTACTTGTGTAAAAAGGTTGGATGGAAACCTGGTTAATGATGTCAATGTTGTTTTTAATCGCACTGCTTTGCTTTATCTTGGCCAGGTCGCAGTTGTAAATGAGAACTTGTTCTCAACTGGCTTACCTGGTTAAATAAAGGTGAAACAAAAAAAACAAAAAATGTTTGTTTCTTGTGATGCAGTTCACAGCAGCACTGACGGATGTGTTGACATGCCAACTGTGTCAGAGTTTTGAATGACCCTTCCCCCCTTTTGTTCCATGCTGGCTAAAGACCTAGCTAGCCAGTAACTATCTAACACCAGACACAGATGAAAGGGGAAACATAAGTATCTTTGCCATAGATGAAGTGTAAACTTGTAACTATATTTGCTGACACCCTAGACACATTTTGCCACCAGTAGAGTAGCTATTTAGCTATATAAACCACGCCCCTCTGCAAACACCTTCTCCTATGTTGGTTACATGGGGGTACTTATTTAACTTAGGTAAGAGAATATCATGTTACCATTGGTGTATTCAAATGAGCATTAGGGTGTCACCTTATTTCCCTTAAATAATCCAGCCTCCTGAATACAAGTGTTTGACATGGGGGAGGGGACCAGTAGGATAACTATGATCAAACGTTATCAATGTAGAAGCAACAGTCATTTTTCATACTTTGGTCATCATATTTTTCTTCAAATATCATCCAATTTCATGAAACATGATTTTGACTGTCCCATGACAAGTAGTCCTTGTGCATAGAGTTCTATGGTTTGTTAAACTTGAAAGCAATGTTTTTTGTTTGGTATACATTTTAAAGTCTCCGCGTAATTCTGTTACCATTGAATTGTCTATACTATTCAGTAATGTGAATATCAAAATACTAGAGAAAACATGTCATGACAAGTGTTTCGCCTATCTTTCCATAGATGGAATCTCATTGTGTAGCCTATGTATACACATTATATTCAACCGACTAGTTAACTACAAGATAATAAAATAGCAGAGAAAATATAGTTGTGCAACACAATCAATTCACTCTTAATGTTCTGGCAACATTATAGCAGTTGAATATGACATAAGGGACACGTTTTGAGGATGGGAATAGAAGAAATTAGCTAGGAGAAAATCTAGGTAGCTAAATGTGCACATTTACCTGCATGCTCCCCTCTTGCACGCCGGTACACAGATTCGGTAAGCTATCTCAATATGTTCCCGTTGTATGTCCTCTGGTCTCACCGACTCGACCCAGCGCCAGGCTGCTTTCTCAAGCTGTACGCGAGGCGCCATTCTGCAAGAAAAACAGAGCCTACCATGGGTACCCTGACAAAGAGGTGCCGAGGATGCTGCGGCCTAACTCGCGCTACTGGCACAGCTGCAGTCACTCAACGTCGTTAGCTAGCTAACGTTAGCCAGTTGTCTAAATGTAGGTATCTAGTCCGTCGGCGAAGAAAATGCCAAAATAATACTGTAGCTACAATGTTAATCACATCAGGCAAGCAGTTCAAATTACATAACTTGAATTACATCATCTAAACATTCTTCCAACATAGGCTAACGCTAGAATCATATAAGATGGTGCTTGTCGTAGCTAACTAGCTACCAATCATAATGCTAGCTAGCTTGTCGGATATTCCCCACTGCAAATAACTGCGTAGCTAGCTAGCTAGGTCTCAAGCTAACGTTAGCTAGCTAGCTACCCATCATTTCTTGTTAGCGTATTATATATATATATAATTTGTTTAATTAAATGTACATTCGAACCTTTCGTGCGTGTACCACAAACTTCTGATTGTGCAGCTGCATATATTTTCATATTTTATTCAGTTTGTTTTAGATTTAGCGCCCTTGCGTCAGTTTTTAAATAAATAATTTCCTCCTTCAGTTTTAGGCGCAAGTACCTACGCATGACATGCGATTGTTTGACGCAGCTACGTAGCCACTTTTTTAAAAAACGCGGGGGACTCCCTAAAAATAGAGAAGAAGTGGCGAAGCGAGAGGTTTTACCACAGATAGAACAATGAGACAGATATTTCACCGGATGTATAAATGTGAAACATGCGCTTGTCGTTTCCACTCACTACCAAATATGATATTGAGATTTGATATTATATGATTTTCACATCATTAGAACACTGTATATAGACATAATATGACACTTGAAATGTCTTTATTCTTTTGGAACTTTTGTGAGTGTAATGTTTATTGCTAATTTTTTATTGTTTATTTCACTTTTGTTTATTATCTATTTCACTTGCTTTGGCAGTGTAAACATATGTTTCCCATGCCAATAAAGCCCTTGAATTGAATTGAGAGGAAGCCCAATGGCCGGCAGTGGGAGAAGATGGAACGAGATGGATTTTGGCCGACATTCTGCAAATTTTCTCATCGATGAATCATTTCATGTCAATACAGTTTTCTGTTCCCAAAACTACGGTATGTTATGAACATAGTGGATTACGTTTTGTAGACTTTACCCTTTGTAAAAGTTTTTAAAAATCGCGTTGTTTGGGAGTGCAAAGGCGAATTGAATTATTGCACAGGCACACTTCACAGAGGCGTTCCCTAACGGAAATATGTAGACGCATGCGAGAAGGCGCCAATAGGATCTCGCTAGCTCGTGCTTGGCTCTGCCCACCTCCTTGCTTGTTCTGCCCACTATGACATTGGAAACGACAGGCTGTGGTCTATCTTGGTTTAGTTATACAAATCTTTGGTTTGACTCTGTCCAGGAAAAAAGCCCATGAAGTGAGGAATTTTTTTATGGAGGGCAATGAGAGACGGCACTCCCAAGTAGGAGCAGTCCTCCATAGGAATGAATGGGATTTCGATAGTATTTCATTCAGTTAAATGTTTTAAGTACAAAATTACATGTATTTAAGTATTTTTATTGTTGTAGTGGGGACAGTAACATTAGTAATCTCAAAAATTATACTTTAAAGAAAATGTTTTTAGATATTTTTTTATTTGTATGTTTAGCTCACATAATATAATTTAAAAGTATACATCAAGGTGTTTGTAATAGAATACATGTGGCAAAATATTTTTTACAATGTGGGAGAGTGCCAAGATGGAGGCATGGCGGCTTCAACACAGCGCCCCCTATCAGTCATCTAGTGTGTATATATAAAATATTGGAGATAAGTGGACACTCTTTGAAACAACAACTTTGAAAATAACAACTTTATAGGAGTTGTACCTGTTGTCACAGAGATAGACAGAGTACTCATCATGGATATAGTTTTAGCATGGATATTTGCCATAGACGGCTTCCACCATTTAAAGGTAGTCAACTGGGTGGGGATTCCTATGAGTTGGGAGCAATCAGCCAATGAAGAAGAAAATGGACGACTTTAAAATGGAGATAACCTCAATGGCGTTGCCCATGGTATCACAGACGCTATAATGGCACAGATACAAAGATGAGTCCTCTATGTATCTCTATGGCCTGTTGTTCGCATTTGTATCTGCCCTCTCATTGGCTAGAATGGTCCCACCTGATCTCGCCTCCTGCCTGCCTTCTATCTGAGGCTGTGTATTTCCATTGTTAGAGTGGTCACTTGACCTGTGCCCCCGCATATTGATTCTGTACCCGTACCCCTTGTATATGGCCTCACTACTGTTATTTTACTGCTGCTCTTTAATTATTTTTTATTTATCAATTTTTTACTTAACACTTGTTTTTCTTAAAACTGCATTTTTGGTTAAGGGCTTGTAAGCATTTCAAGGTCTACACCTGTTGTATTTGGCGCATGTGACAAATAACATTTGATTTGATTTGACTATCTTGTCAATATAATAGAGTACCACAGTATGAGGCATAATACCCATAAAACCTAGCAGTCGAACAAGGAAATGGTTCCAATCGTTTTTCCACCATTCATTTTTTCCATAGGGGATTTTAGAAAGACTTAAAATAAGGTCTGTGTTTCTCCTGTATTTACCCCCCAAAAATGAAACGCTAAATAGCTGCTAATGTGGCTATCATAAAGAACTACAAATGCCAGGATGATCTGGACGAGACTGCTGAATTGAGGCAAAGGTAAGAATCTCTGGATGAACTATCAAATGTTAGCTACATTTTGTAATAAATAAATTGGCAACATTTCTTTAAATTGACAATTCTGTGAACTGTCTTGTGCAAGTTTTAAATTGACACAATACCTGTTAGCAAAGGTGTCAGCTAGAGATGACGTGCAGGAGCTTGCAGGGATTTGTAGTCTTGCATGATGTCTACTTTGATGGTAATTAGCATTTTAGAATCTGAGAGTAAATAGAGACAAATATATTGATAAAAGTCACCTTGTCTAAGAGAGATTTACATGGTTATCAAAACATTATGCCAGGGTAAGCCTACACGAAACACAGCCCTTATTTTAAGTGTTTCTAAAATTCCCTATGGGAAAAATTAATGGTGGAAAAACGATTGGAACCTTTTCCCTGTTTGACCGCTAGGTTTTATGGTTATTAAGACAACTCCACTGAGGGGCTCTATGCTAAAAACCTGGCACTTTGAAACAGCTACGAGCGAAAGTGAATTTTCGTAGCAGGTTAGGAGGGTCGTCACTAGTTATTGTAGCCACAAAGTCATAATTATGGCTAAACCCCGCCTATTTCTACAGTTTATCTTCTTAAAATCTGATTATAAGCGTAACCCAAACCACACTGCTAACCTTATGTCTAACCATAACCAAAAAGCTAATTGTTGTTTTCATGAATTTGTACGATATAGCAAATTTGTGACAACCGGTTAGAGAGCTATGTTAATTCTCCTAATCTGCTATGGAAAAGTAATGTTCGGTCGTAGCTGTATCAAAGTTTTTAGGGAATCTCCAAAAGCGAGCGGTTGAGGTTTTTCTCCTCAATTATTGGAGGTTGTGACTAGATGGAGTACAGCTACGACTGGAAGTGTCTTTTCGTAGCAGATTAGGAGAGCAATTTAACTAACCCTAACCCTTTTCCTAACCTTAACCTCAGTCTCCTAACCTGCTACGTTAATTCTCCTAACCTGCTGCGTAAATTCTCCTAACCTGCTACGAAAAGAAACTTCCAGTCTTAACTGTATTCCACCTAATCAGAACCATTATTGGACGCATTTGTCCATGATTGGATGAAACCTTGGTTAGTGCTATCTGGAATACTTGGGACATCCCTACACTAAACCCTAACCTTAACCCCTAACCTTAACCATAATCCTTACATAACCCCAACCTTAACCCCTACCTTAAAGGTAGACTCAGCTAAATGTAGCACCACATATATTGAGATGAGCAAGATGCAAGACTTCGCTCTCACCACACACAGTATCTGCGTATGTGCATGGTTTCACATCACGCTGTTACAGCCTGGTAGCCAGGGCACCAAAACAGCAGAGAAGTTGAGCCTCGTGCTTCAACGCTCTGGTTGTTGCAGAAATGTACCCAGTATGCTGTTTACTTTCTGCATCTACATCATATTGCTGACTACCTTTCCCAACCAAATTCACATAGAAATGTGAGTTATAGATCTGTAATTCGCATTAAAAGCAGTTTTTGCTCTTTTACTTTCAGTTTTGTACAACAGCTTCAACAGCTAAAAATACAAAAAAGTACAGCGATTTAGATGGTACAATGATGTTTGTTTTGACACATAAACTGAAATTAGTTGAACTATTAGAATTATAGCAACCAGGAAATGGCGGAGCGATTTCTGCATATTGCACCTTTAATCGTTCAAAATTTCAACTTCAAATGGGTGAAGTCAGAGTTGGCCGGGACATCCCATGTTTAGACTTCCATGAAACCTTTATTCAAGTCTGTCCAGGAATGACAGGTTAGTGCTCACTGAAAATACAGGTCAAAAGGAATACAATAGAATGCTTCTCTTATTTCATTAGCTGTAAACTTAATCTGCATTTCCAATGGAGGGGAATATACTGTACTGTATAACTCCACTGTTTCAACCTGGGAAATACCATGCAGCAATTGTAGGATAACAGTGGTGATATAGGCAATAGTTCAGTGAGGATATCTAGTTTAGGCCTCTCTAGGATGGTAAAAGATTATGATAACTAACTAACCCCCTTTCATCTGTGCTTTGGTGATCCAATTGCTTGAAGCAGAGTGGCCCAGCGACAACATTATAGCTGTATTGTACTACAAGACAGTTACTTTGAAAGGCATCTTAATTAATGATTAATTTCTTATTCTGAAAATAACAGGTGCTCAGATTTACACTCACAGTACATCCCTAATTCAGTGAGTGTCACTCCAGGGTTCTCTTGTGAATCTCTTTTAATGAGCCCCCATCATCCTTGACCTTGAAGAGGTGTCAGTTAGAGGTCTAAGTGTCACTGTAAAGCCAGGGATTAAATTGTCCCCTTACCCTGTAAGCAGTATATGGACAAGGTATGACAGCAATCCATGCTTTGGTTTATTTTCCCTGGCACTGTTTTCCCTGGCACTGCGATTTATGCCACAAATGCTAAAACGTAAGCATGTGGAAACAGTGCCAGGGAAACTAAACCAACACATGAATTGCTGTCATACCGTGTCCATAGACAGTTTACAGAGTAAGGAAACCAATGTAATTTGGGTAAACACATCTAAGCATTTGTGTGCATTTAACAATTAGGCTACTAAGAAAAATGTTTTTAACTAGCATATCCAAGTGCACCAATCCCTTTAGCTAAATCAAGTCTTGCAAGTAAAACTACCGACGTTAACTTTTTCAAAAGAGGAAGAGAGACAGATGGAGAGCTGAATGCGCCCTACTTGAGAGTCGGTGAATGGGTGCGGATAGAGGGGCCACCGATCCCCTCCTACTTTGGAAACATTGTATTGGTGCTGTTGTCATGGAAACCGCAGGACACGTAGTTGGATTCGACAAAGATGGGGGCTTCAAAGGAACAAAAGCCAAAGTGTAATTCTCCTAAAGGCGTCAGAAACATTAAAAGGGAATACTCCTCATGCCTCCCTCATATGAAGACCGCGCTTCTCTTGGCACACCAGCAACCGAATGTCCACAAAGTGCATTTAGCAAGATGGTTACTTTCCGTGAAGAACATAATTTTACACCGAAACAGACACACATGCAACACATTTGAGGAGTTTGGGGGCTTGGGATACGCAGTCCCTGAGTGACATAGGGAGTGCGCGCCAGAGTGGAACAACAGCCTTTGCGCTTGGGAGTAGGCTACCGAGATGGCCAAGAAGGGGAATCAACTTCAGAGCCTGTCAAAAGTGTTTGTTCTGCTCAGCGTTATGACAGTCAAGACCAATCCACTTGAGACGGGTAAGAAGATGGAAGGTCAATTTCAGATGTATTCCGTCGCCGATTCAGCTACTTGACACGTTTTGCCATTACTGTGAAGAACTGCCTTGTGCGCGTAATTTATTTGTTGCTCCTGGCTCTCTCATTGCGCCACTGGGCTTTTGTAAATTAAAACAGTGTGTCTTTCTGAGTCATTGTAATGAAGCATCAATATTATATTCGTTACCTAAATAGCCGTTGATTTGAACTCTGTTTTCTGAAACAAATTGCCATTCAAACAAGCAGATACCATGGATAAGAAAAGAAGGCATAAGGGATGACCAAGGAGTTAGGGGATAGGCCAGCAGCTGAATGATCATTTGTCATGTGACAATTCTTAATTTGTGAAATAATAGTTTACACAGGGGTTTGAATGCGTTTTATTCAACTTTAATTAATGAAATATTTAGTTTTCTTTTTGTTCACTTGTATTCCACAGAAATAGCCTACAGACTTTTGACATTAAACTTAATTAACTTTTCAGAAATCTATGCTTTTATCATTATCAACAAAATATAATAATTGGGAAAGAAACATCAGGAGTTGCCCCATGCCACCATAGTTGTCTTTTCCCCACTGGACTTTATCCCAGTGAGAACATACCAGAGCTGTTTATTTTTACCTGTAAAACCCTTTATTGGGGACTTGCTGTTCTGCTGTTGTCCATGTTTTGGACAGTGCTTCTCTTGCGGGCAACGTGTTTATTTGGGTAGTGTTGTTGGACTGGTGATTTCCCATCAGTAGTACTTCCCAGTCCTCTTCCTTGGAACATTCCGGGAGGTCAGTGCAGGAGGATCCAGTGGTTGCCTGGGGAAACAGAGCTTATAAACCCAGGAAGGGGTTGTAAATCTTCCCATTATCTGGCTCACTGTCCAGAGTGGGTGTGTAGCAGCATCAGTTGGCCCCCAGCCACCATAGCCAAGATGTCTGGACTTTTACATGGCACAGGGATAGTATACTGGACCTGTAACTGCAGGGTTGCTGGCTCAGGTCCTGTTCTGGTTATTTGTTTCTTCTATTCACCTGTAACAATCAGCTGTAGACTAACTCAGTTGTGTTTTAGTTTGTCATAGTTTTTAATATTTCAGTATAGGTCAATGGGACTGTGGAGAAACAGAGAGATGTTTACACATCACATCCTCACAGACAAGTAGTTTGCTCCTTCATTCTACTTACATTTATACATCTGTTGGTTTTCCTCCAGTCAACGTGGTGGACTTCTGTGGCCAGAACATCCGGGGCGATGGGATGATCGTCAACTCACACCAGGAGTCCAAGAAGTACTATTTTGTCACCATGGGAACGGACTGCCATCTCACCATGCAGGCCGCCTCCCCCAAGGACAAGGTGCCCACCACTAGCCACACCCCCTCCCTTTTGTGCTCACTATACACATGTATGCCTAATATCCCAAATCAACTCCTAGTCCTTGTATAGATCTTAAAGGTTTGGATAGGTATATGCAATATGGTAATATGTTCACCTTGACTTCTTACACCTATCCACTCCTCTCAGATCCAAGGCAAGGGTTAGGGGTGATAATCCCAATATTTTACACATTATCTTCCTTGCAATGTCTGTCAGCTAAACATGCCCCCCCTCCTCCTCTCCCCCTGAAGGTCCAGTTCCACTTCCGCTTCTTCCTGGTCTACAGCCTGCTTCGTTTAGCACCCCAAAGTCCATCCCCCCTCTTCCCTGAGTCCCCCCGGGGCACTCAATTGGAGCCCTCGACTCCAGTGGTGGATCCAGGGGACCCGTGTCATGCGGGGTCATACATTCAGTTCTATGACGGGCGGGACAAGAACTCACCTCCTATTGGACCAACGCTGTGTGGGAAGAGCCCACCTCGCCCGGTGCTGTCCACGGGGAATCACCTGACCCTGCGTCTGGTGACCCGAGGTACTCTGCCTCGAGTGGATTTCGTGGGGGACTTCACCTCCTTCAGACTGGGTGAGACATGACGCCAGCCACGTGGGCCTGAGTGGGCCCGGGCCCACCCACTGGGGAGCCAGGCCCACCGAATCAGATTGAGCAAAAAAAATAAACACTTGTTAGTGTTTTCCGAAATGTATTTGTCTTTTTACCTAAACATGCAAACACCATCCGATAGAATTCATAGCAAGCAGTGCACTGGAATGACATTCAGATGAACTGGAATGACATTCACTCTCATGGGAAAGGTTGCCAAAAATAACTAACTGAACGCCACACCCCTAATAAGCTACGAATATGACTGCATTGAGGCATATGTCACTGTGCTTCTATGGCTATATACACCATGCCACTGCCAGCTTCATTTGTTAATTTAGCAAACAAGACAGCCCATAATCCAGTGCCTCTATCACAGTCAACACACCTATATTTTAGCTTTAATTCGTTTTAAAAATGCAACATTTTCTGTCAGCCTCATGGTAAAATGTGTAGAATAGCATGAAATTAGCTACACAACTTCACATTTTCCTCTCTGCCCCATGGTAAAATGTGTAGAATTGCAGGAAATTAGCCCCCCCCCAAAAAAAATAATTTTATAATCTAACTCATCAACACAATTGTAGCCTACTCACGAGCTGTAGTTTGTGCAGTTTGTAACCAATCAAATGTACCATCTTGGTCTATCCATTTTCAGGTTTTAACCATTCAGCGTGCAGCGGTGAGCCTTACTTCCCATGTCGTAATGGGAAGTGTATCCCCATGAGTCTGGTGTGTGATGACAAGGGCATCGATAACTGTGGGGACGGGAGCGACCTGGAGGATCACCTGCCCTCAGGGTGCAAAGGTCACTCAGGTATCACACCTGTGCAGCTACCTGTTCAACAGGCCTTTAAAGTTGGTCTATGTAGCCCCTAACACACTTCAGACTAAATCTCACTATTATTACACTATTCCACTTTTTATAAACTTTTAAAGGAGTGGGCCAGTCCCACTCCTCACATATTTGTTTATTGGTTAGGACACAAGTAGAGAGGAAGAGGAGAGTGTCCTGAAAAAGCGGTAGGCCGCATCCGAACCCATACTGCAGCAGTAGACAGTATGTGCAACGGCTTAGATCACAAGACCACCTTAAGCCACCCAATTGTATTATTCTACCACTCTTCTAACCTGTACAACGTTTTGTTACTGTAAATTGGACTGTGTTCTCAGTCACCTTACCTAGTAAAGAAAAGGTAAATAACACCTGTGTCATCTCCTCAGCAGGTCAGCTGACCCCAGCTCAAGCCCCTCCCCCAGCAGTGACCCCACCCCCTCCTGTCTTAAACTCGCCCACTTTGCCCATGTCCACCTATAGGAACTGTGGCACTCCGGACGGCATACCCAATCACAACTCAGTGACAGGTGAGTGACAACTGGTACAGAATAAATAGCTCAACCCAAACTGCTTTACTTGTACTGTATCTCACAGTGGCTTTCTTCAAAGATCCCTTACTTCTTAACTGCTGGGTAAGCCACACAACTTGTGTAGGGAATGGGGTATTGTTTGTGTCTGGAAACTCTATTTCAGCACAAAGTAACGGGAACCTAATTGAAATGCAAAGCACATCAATGACAGGGGGCATAAAACTAATTGGGATGCCCATAGCTCTTAACTTCCACCTTACTGGTTGTAAACCAATAAACTGTGATGGATTCTCAGTGGTGAATATGACCCCTTTGAGTTCCCAGTCACCATTGTTGCTTTTCTAATGACACTGGTGCAAATAGATACTGAGGCTAGATTGCCTTTTTGTCTGTGCCAAGCCACCAGATGTCCAGCCAAGACTACAAAAGTTATTTTATTCATTCCCGAGTGACGCAGTGGTCTAAGGCACTGCATCACAGTGCTAGCTGTGCCACTAGAGATCCTGGTTCGAATCCAGGCTCTGTCGTAGCCGGCCGCAACCGGGAGACCCATGGGGCGGCGCACAATTGGCCCAGCGTCGTCCAGGGTAGGGGAGGGAATGGCCGGCAGGGATGTAGCTCAGTTGGTAGAGCATGGCATTTGCAACGCCAGGGTTGTGGGTTCGATTCCCACGGGGGGCCAGTATGAAAAAAAAAAAAAAAAAAAAAAGTATAAAATAATGTCGCTCTGGATAAGAGCATCTGCTAAAATGTAAATGTGAAATGTCTGGCGAAGGGGAGAAAAAATTGGCTGTGGAAATGGCCAGTCATTTGTTAACAGGACATGTGTGTAAATTGTATATTTTTTGTCTTAAATTGAAGGATGATTTGATCATCGAAGAATACAAGGAAAAGTCTTTACTGTGATTTGGCAACAAAGTATTTGGATGGTTTTACTATTACAAGCAAGCAGATCCCATTGCTAACTGTACTCTGCTTTCATCCCTGTACACTCCCACAGATTCTCCTCCCTACCTGTCCCTGTTGGCGCTCTACATTGTCCTGGGTGTGATAGCTGGTGTGGTCCTGCTGTGCTGGTGCTGCTGGTCTCCAGGTTGGTTCCTCTGGAGGATCAGCATTTGCCGCTTCTTACCCTGCTGTAACTCAGCCTGTGCCTCCTGCCAACTCTGTGCCCGTAGCTGTGTCCAGAACAAGGAGCACCGACCAGCTAAGGTCTCACCACAAGGAGAGGTCCCAACCAACAGTGCTGCATTGGCCCCCCTCACCACATCCACGGCTAACGCCACCACACTCGCTGTGTAGGAGGGCAATGCAGTCGCTATGTAGCTCAGAACTGTTGTCGCAATGAAGCATAACTGCTATGATGGCTAACAGTGAGACAGATGGACTCACGGACATGATGACCCATACTTCCTGTTTTAGACTGATGGACTGAGATGATACTCATCTTTTTGCTGGGTTACAAGGACTGTTAATGTCATGGAAGAAGGAGTGCTGCAAAGCTGAGACTGTTCTTAAAACGGGGAGAGGCTTTACATTAGAATGTTTGAGTCAGTGTAGGTTCTTGATTTTTGGTGCTTTACACAATGAATGACTGACACTACCTTCTTCGGACTGTTTTGTATTTAAAAGTGTGTTAGATTGGACCAACATAGAGGGTTCTTCTCTGAGTGTATAAGTAACCCAGGTTCACCTATTCAATTCTATCTATGTTGGCATAAGTCTCCTAGTTACAAAAGCATGAGAAATCCTATTCCCCTCAACTTTCCACACCCTTCAACCTGCTCCCACTGAAATGTTCACTTCCCACACGTGTATGCCCCTTACCCAGCAGGGACTATATTTTTGTTAATAAAATAAATCCCACTCCTCTGTTTTTGAGGTACTTTATGTACCATGTTGGGGGCAACCACACATATGTCGGTGCTCATGTCTGCCATGTACACTGACCCTGCCTTGAGTAGACCCATAACCTTTCTTAATTTTCCCTCCGTGCTTGTTGTGTAACTAGATTACACAGTTCCCCCGCCTGATTTTGAGAGCTGCTCTTGAGGCTTCGTAAGGGTGACATGCTTGACTAAATGCTGTTTCTCTACTCTTGAGTTGCCAAGCGACAATTTAAGGTATGCTCCCCCCAACCACTCAACCTCTCTCTTTCTCTCTCTCTCTCTCTCTCTCTCTCTCTCTCTCTCTCTCTCTCTCTCTCTCTCTCTCTCTCTCTCTCTCAGACTTAACGCGCATGGATATAACCAACACTTTCTTCACGAGGTCATGGACTGAGCTGAAAGAGCTCATAATGAACAATGAATCAAGTGCATTACTTTTCTACACTAGGGCTTCTGTCTAACTTTCAGACGTGATACCAAAAACGTGTTGTCAATATCACAAATAAGAAGTCATAGGGCTATGGTTCTGTCCCAAAGACCAAAACGATTTGTGTCCCTAGAACTACTATTGTGTAAATACGTTCTTTCTCAGATACAGTGGGGAGAACAAGTATTTGATATACTGCCGATTTTGCAGGTTTTCCTACTTATAAAGCATGTAGAGGTCTGTAATTTTTTATCATAGGTACACTTCAACTGTGAGAGACGGAATCTAAAACAAAAATCCAGAAAATCACGTTGTATGATTTTTAAGTAATTAATTTGCATTTTATTGCATGACATAAGTATTTGATACATCAGAAAAACAGAACTTAATATTTGGTACAGAAACCTTTGTTTGCAATTACAGAGATCATACGTTTCCTGTAGGTCTTGACCAGGTTTGCACACACTGCAGCAGGGATTTTGGCCCACTCCTCCATACAGACCTTCTCCAGATCCTTCAGGTTTCAGGGCTGTCGCTGGGCAATACGGACTTTCAGCTCCCTCCAAAGATTTTCTATTGGGTTCAGGTCTGGAGACTGGCTAGGCCACTCCAGGACCTTGAGATGCTTCTTATGGAGCCACTCCTTAGTTGCCCTGGCTGTGTGTTTCGGGTCGTTGCCATGTTGGAAGACCCAGCCACGACCCATCTTCAATGCTCTTACTGAGGGAAGGAGGTTGTTGGCCAAGATCTCGCGATACATGGCCCCATCCATCCTCCCCTCAATACGGTGCAGTCGTCCTGTCCCCTTTGCAGAAAAGCATCCCCAAAGAATGATGTTTCCACCTCCATGCTTCACGGTTGGGATGGTGTTCTTGGAGTTGTACTCATCCTTCTTCTTCCTCCAAACACAGCGAGTGGAGTTTAGACCAAAAAGCTCTATTTTTGTCTCATCAGACCACATGACCTTCTCCCATTCCTCTTCTGGATTATCCAGATGGTCACTGGCAAACTTCAGACGTGCCTGGACATGCGCTGGCTTGAGCAGGGGGACCTTGCGTGCGCTGCAGGATTTTAATCCATGACGGCGTAGTGTGTTACTAATGGTTTTCTTTGAGACTGTGGTCCCAGCTCTCTTCAGGTCATTGACCAGGTCCTGCCGTGTAGTTCTGGGCTGATCCCTCACCTTCCTCATGATCATTGATGCCCCACGAGGTGAGATCTTGCATGGAGCCCCAGACCGAGGGTGATTGACCGTCATCTTGAACTTCTTCCATTTTCTAATAATTGCGCCAACAGTTGTTGCCTTCTCACTAAGCTGCTTGCCTATTGTCCTGTAGCCCATACCAGCCTTGTGCAGGTCTACAATTTTATCCCTGATGTCCTTACACAGCTCTCTGGTCTTGGCCATTGTGGAGAGGTTGGAGTCTGTTTGATTGAGTGTGTGGACAGGTGTCTTTTATACAGGTAACGAGTTCAAACAGGTGCAGTTAATACAGGTAATGAGTGGAGAACAGGAGGGCTTCTTAAAGAAAAACTAACAGGTCTGTGAGAGCCGGAATTCTTACTGGTTGGTAGGTGATCAAATACTTATGTCATGCAATAAAATGCTAATTAATTACTTAAAAATCATACAATGTGATTTTCTGGATTTTTGTTTTAGATTCCATCACTCACAGTTGAATTGTACCTATGATAAAAATTACAGACCTCTACATGCTTTGTAAGTAGGAAAACCTGCAAAATCGGCAGTGTATCAAATACTTGTTCTCCCCACTGTATGTTTCAGATTCAGGTTTATTTTTATTCAGAAGGCATAATTGATTTCTACCACTACCTTTGTACTATTGACACAACCTCCATATTCAAAAGCAAAGTGTGTTTTTTTTTTAAAGCTTATAGTCGTATATACGTTTGTCTGAAATGTCATCATCAGACCTGGGTTCAAATACATGTGTATTTGAGTAGCTGTTTGAAAAAAATTTTTAGATATATATTTGAAAATACTCAATACAGCCCAAAACAAGTAAAATTGTATTTGAATGGTTATTTGTAAAAACAAATAGTCTACCAAATTGTATTTTCAAATACTTATTTCAAATACCATTTTCAAATACCAGGGTTAAATGCATGGAAGTGTATTAGTCAGTGTATTTTCAAATACTTTCCAAGTGTATATTACGTGTATAAATATTCAACTACTTCTCTTTTAAAATATAAGATATCTGAATACTTACTTCGAAATGTTATGTGAAGGTAATTGAGATATTTGAAATAGTATTTGAACCCAGGTCTGGTAATCATTATCTATGTATACTTAATTTCTCATGGTATTTGATCCACAAATAACAAGGAAACCGTATGCGTAATCACCACAGTCTGATATGTTTGACAATATTAAACTTAGAACATTAAAGATTAATTCGACATTGCCTCATGTTATAGGGTAAATCCATTTGAATTCAATCACTTTTTGACAGCACCCCTTTTGATTTGAACAAAACCTTCCATACATATTAGCCCATTGTAGAAGTGCTCAGAAAGTGACTTTTTGGACCTGAATGACAAAACATTCAAGAGATAAAAGTGCTCAAAGTTGACCTATTTTGCATACCCCACCATCCCATGTCTTCATCGTGGAAAAGATAAACGGCTGAGATTGATATAATTTAAAAGCTTACAAACAGGGTTGCAAACTATTTTAGAATATATTGAAAAAAGGTTAGTAATATTTTATTTATTTATCCTTAAATGTGAATTATCAAAAATATTTGTTCATATTCACATATGTTGTAGCTTAGACCCTATTTTACATCATCTGAGGTTTTTGTGTTGTGCCCACCATCAGTTGAGACACAACGTGCTCTTGAATACTTTAAGCACCTTTTATCTCCTGAATGTTTTGGCATTCAGGTCCAAAAAGTCCCTTTGTGACCACTTCTTCCATGGGCAAACATGTATGGAAAGTTGTGTTTAAATCAAAAGGGATGCTGTCAAAAAGTGATTGAATTCATTTGGATTTACCTTTCAATTTTCTGATATTTGGCAGACATAAGACATAAGACAATGAACTTTGACTGGTCTGTCTCGCTCTCCCGTCTCTCCCTCTGTTTCTGTCTTCCCTGTCTCTTTCTCTGTCTCCTTGTCTATCTCTGCCTCTGTTTTATGTTATAAAATGAGGGTAGGTAGAGTATTCATCTGGAGCAGAATATAATTGCTGCCTGATTGTTCATCCTCTCAGAGAGCCTTGTTGACAATTGTAAGCGCTTGGCAAGGTCTCACAAATCTCAAACTGTGTCTGTTGCCACTGTAACTACTGGTAACCTTTCAGGACAAATCCCTCTCCTTCTACAAAGAGAACCCTCTGCTGTTTGAATGGTGTTTAATCCCTACCTCTCTATGCACTACAGCCTGACATTGATTCTGGGTTTATTGTTGCCTTGGTGAAACATTACTTCTCGATTAGTCGATTTTTCAAGGTGAGCATTCGGTTGTTTGAGCGTTCTCAAGTATATATGCCCAAGGGACTCAGAGTCTACAGGAATAACAGTTCTTGGTGCCACATGAATCCAAATGTTATTACCGCATCAGACTATTTAGATGAGTAAGACAAACATGTTTGCAGCTCAGGGACAATTCTACAGTATCTCTCCCGATTTAGAGCACCTCCAGCTAGTAATGTGTCTGTCTTTGGATATCTTTGGATATCCAAACACTATTATTAGACACATTTACATAGTAGGAAGAAGACATATTTCTCTCTGTTCAGCTCGGCCCAGTTTCTGGTGTTAATCACTTGTGATTATCTTTGTTTGAGCTAAATGTGCCACATTGTTCGTTTGGTATCTCAGTCGGCCAAGCCACAGGAAGCATCATCTATGATTCACACCCACAGCGCGTCAGCCTCATGACCCTATTAACTAGGCCAGGCCTCAATGGACATTGGCTTTACAGGGGAAACGGTAAACACACCGAACCCAATGACA